CAGTTTCTTCCTTCTTAGAGCCCCAGATCCATTCGGACCATGACTGAGGCTTCGGCTGTTTCGGAGCGATAATATTCTCTTTTCTGAGCTGATGCCTTCCCAGAGAACGCCAGAACTTCAGATCCTCATATGTTGACTTTTCTTCCAATCGTTTTAAATCAGCCTCTTCCTCCGTAGAAAGAGCTATATTCCTTTTCTGTTTCTTAAACAATTCGATGTATCGTATACGGTCATCCCTTCGCTCTTTGATATACTCCCATGTCCACCGCCTGTTTCTCTCATGGATTTTGGTAAGGACGGCATTCCCTGCGAATCTGAACCATGCACGAGGGTCCTCCGTCGGGCGACATTTCGGCTGAAGTCTTTTGTATTCTCGATGGCGAATGAAATAGTGAAAGAGGTCAACAAGCATTAACGCATCACGATATTGGTAATCGTCTAAGACAAAACCAAGTTCATCAAATATCAATCTCGCCTTCGCCCTTGGCCGATCGGTACTTAAAGTCTTATCCAATTCGAGTCCTGCCTTCCCGCTAACTGGTTTCAATATATACTGGCCATTATCGCGGGAGTCGATTGCCTGGCGGAATTTCTCGACTAACTCTTCGTGAGACACAGTATGTGATTCACCGCCGCCGCTACTTCCAGAGCTAAATAACTCCGCATCCGTATTCCAGTAGACAGCCAAAGCACCCAAAACAGCCAGTTTATGGCTTGTTTCAGAGGTTGACTGGATAAAGGTAGGTCTCCATTCGGAATCAGTGCTCACTGCGCTGAGCTCTTTGAGAGTAAGGCCCAAGGCAAAGGGATGTCCAGGCACAGCTATAGAGTCTTCGTAGCGAAAGTGTACGTTCTTAATGACCACCTGGATGTTATCAATAATAGCTGTCACCAAACTCTGCATGAAACTCTGGTTTTTCATTTGTTCCTCTTTGCTCATGCTTTCTGAGTGCTGATCCCTAAGAAGCTCAGCGCTCTCCAGCTTCTCCATCTTTATCTCGTGTTCTCGTCTTTTCTCCTCCTCTGGGTCGTAGCTGGAGTCCTCCTTCGGCGCCGCCAGTAGAAAAACATCTTCGATCTCAATCTTCACAGGCTTCCCTCTTAAATTGGACCAAGGAATGGATAGGGTAAGTTCGCCAAGGTGGCCTTCGACGACGTTCAGAGGGAGGTGGAGTTGGTCCAAGGCCTCGCGGCGTAGCTCGAGGTTTCGTAATTTCACATCTCCGGACCAGATGCCAACGTTAAGCTGCCCCGCATCGAAATTCTTAACGTACATGCCCAGGAACCTGTTGAGCAGGTTCGCAACGAGGCCTTCCAACATCTTGAAATATTTAGACTAGTCAAGGGACAGGAATCATCTGGTCAATCGGGAATTCTGCAGGCAAGGTACGATCGAAATCTGTCGAAATCTTTAGTTTCAAGAGATAGAACCGTGGGGCAATGTTTGAATCCGCAGTTGAAGTAGGAGTTTCTACAGGGCGGCGACAGTTAGTTTTAGCGATCTCAGATGTCAAAAGGCAATTGCTGCAGGGGGAAGAGAATCAATGACACAAGTGCAGGCCTATCTCCATTTACCTACCATACCACCATGTCTTCCCTATCGATCCAGGGCGCACACAAAGCAACATGCAACACCTACTGCAATTCGTATTAAAGAAGCCCAGTTTTATTAATTTCGGAATGGTGATGGCAATTATAAGTGATGGCTTAAGTGGAACAACAACATGCTTTATTGAATTAAGCTGAATGAATGTTGGGCAGACATTGCCTGTGCGAGGAGCTTTCTACCCCAGAGGATGTTGAGCTTGGTGACGTAAATTGCGGCGGCGGCCCCAGGTTGGAAGTCAGCCCGGTATTCGCACCCCCCGTTGACTGGTAAACCGGCAGATGATGTTGTTGCCATTGGGTCATTGGTCGAAGCTTGGTCGGAGTGTGCGTGGTAATAGTCGATAATATATGTGTGTATAAATGAACCATCTCCGCTTGAGGATTTGGGCGGGAGCATGAGGGATTATCGGACGGGGTGTGATTTTGAAAGGAGTGAAAAGCACAACAGTGCATATTTGTTTGATTAAAGTTACAGTCAGGTAAATCAAGATTGGTACGAAGGGTGGAGTAAAAATTAAAGAGTACTTTGGAGTACGGAGTAGTAATAGGAGCATCTAGTTAGTATGTCTAGCTCACTTGGAGGGCATTCCAATACCAATTTTGGGGCGAAATACACAATGCGCAATGCAACTGACCATTCTAAAAACTGTCCTCAGGCGCTCAGTTAACAAGACGAGAAAACTATCCCCTCAACGGAACCTTGGCATCCTCAATCCCTTTGTCAATATCCACCTTAAAATATAGAAATATCGCTATTACCATGAGGAAGATATTCGGCAGCATTGGGAACCGCAGATTATGTGTCCTATTTTGAATAACACCCTGCACCAGGGGGTTAATCCATCCGATTGCAAGATCCAACGTTATCTCAAGACCAAAGAATTGCGCCTCTGATCCCTTTGGAATGAGAGACGAATATACAGCTCGGTTGTACGAGCGTAGGGCACTACTCGTACTTAGGAAGAGGACTTGTTCCACCCAGAATTCAGGCTGGTTCTTGAACCCAATAGGAACATTAGGGTTGATCCCGATGCAGCCCCAGAGGAGACAGAGAAAGTTGACAGATAAGAAGACATAAGCCCACCTCTTTACCGGAATCTTCACGCGGGGGAAGATAAAAAGGAAGCTTAGACTTCCCAAGCTAGCGCAAAGAACGGCGGTAAAGCTCCAGACTTGGTACACGCCCGAACCATTGCTAATTCCTGTGACCTCGAGAAAGAGTGCCTGGATCAGGCTGTTGTAGTTGCTATAAGCGGTATTCCAAAGAACCCAGCCGATGCAGAGCTTGAATGCTTCCGGATACCGACGCACGGAAGAAAACATGCTCACCCATCCTTTAATCATAAGGTGGAAAACATTTTCTCCTTTCGGCTTCGGTTGCCCTGGGATTGACGGTAGGAGCCAATTGCCGATGAGTGCAAAGACAACTAATTTCTCGTTAGAATGACATTCACAGAATCTGATGATCTATAACGTGTAACATACTAGTAAGGGAACCAGCAATTGTGATAGCAAGTAGATAATTGTGATAACCGACTTGGACATATGACCCTCTGGTATACACAAGGATCACACCAATAATGAGTGCAACAAGACTGCCAACGTTGCCAGACACCAAGGCGAGGACACTGACGGTGACTCCCTTTGTCCATGTCTGTTTCTCCACAGAACTACGTTCCGCTGGTGTTGTGACCGACACCACAGGCGACGAGCGGAACCAGCCGGCAGAGCGCATAAAAATAGGAATGTAAGATGACTCGATGACGGCGTAAACTCCCTGGATAGTTGTAAGGCAGCAATATAGCACAGAAAGTGCCACCAGGTAGGGATAAGTTGACTTGGTTAAAGCGGCAAAGGGTAGAGCCAAACCGCCAAAGAGAATGATCGCCCCAATCATCATGGCCTTCCGATAATCTGCATGTGTGCGAGTCAATACTTGATAGGATCTAGTATACTTTTTCTTTTCTTGGGCCTCTCTTACAGGAGTAATCCGCCATTCCTGCAGTGAAAATTGTGAGGATACCTTCCATTGCCCGACCAATCGCCCGAAGGTACAATCTGCTTAAGTTAGCATATCTCAGATCCTTTAAGTAGCGATGACAAACCGTACAGGTAACTAAGATAATCGATTTCACCAGCCCCAAACCTAACCAGGCACGTAATGCTACTTCCCCGTCGGGCACACGGTTTGTCTGATCCAGGTTGGTGGCCAACCAGATTGGCAGCAGACTGAATGGCGGCAGAAACATAGTTGTAGACCATGGAGCTCGTTGGACCAGTCTGGAATAGCCCATCAGCATCATGGACGGGGTCAAGCCACTGTAGAAAAGGGATCACCCACGGAGAAGCACAGGATCAGGTAGGCAACTAATGCTTTCCTTGAACCTAGGGAGGCCGCTGAGGGATCAGGTGCGGCAGTTTCATCGTGGGAGCCCTGCCCCTCTCGTGCGTCCTGTTTCTGTATTGAGACACTGTGCCTGCGACCGGATTCCTCGTCTGGATCGCGTCCATCACTGACGCTGCGTGAGAAGGACATATCTTCCTGGAGGAAAGCCTCGGGGGACCTGCCTGCACTTAAAAAAAAAACAGTCGGGTCTACCGCTGACTGTTGTGCGAGAGAACAGGATTCTCTGAGATGTAAATGAATGGCAGGAGATCTCCAAAACCTGGGTTGTCTAACGCCTTTAAATAAAACGACACATGTGTAACGACCATCCTTGACAGGATCAACTCCCTCTGGTGAAGACAATCTTGCAGCCAAGAGGGGGGGAGGCCAGGGGGGTTCCGGAGCGAGCGAGAACTTGAGTTCCTTGTAACGGGAAACTCGTGTTCAGGGCATTTGTCAACAACAAGTCCACACAGAGCAGGCATTTTCCCGCGCATATTTGAGCACATTACCACCAGGCTGGCTCAAAAGCCCAATCATCATTTTCAACAAAGCACACCACATTGCCAGTCAATGCAGTCTACTTCCGATAAAAGCCACTCTAGTCGCATTCTCAAGATAAACCTTTTCCACGGAATAAAAGCTTAACAAGAAGCAACAGGATTTAGAACTAGAAGGGGCTCACAACAAGCAGAATGCTCAAGCCCAAACAGCGACAATGGGGAACTGTGGAATGCAGTGCTGCACCCAAAAGGCCGTCGCCTGAGCCCCGGATCCCAATCAAAGACACTGCTCAGAGCCAATGAAGCCTTTGTCTGAGCCAGAAAACAAAAGGAAACGTGATGTCGCGATCTAGGATTGGGTTGCGACTGAGCGCCCCCCAGCCAATCACAAGCATGTGTCTAGTTACATAAGCTCCAACTAGAGTGCTGACATAAGCAGTGGTTTGCACGCAAGATTTGCCTGCAAGTCGATTTGTTGACCACCTCTGCTGACGACCGACCGCCCTGATCCTGCTCGAGAACGCCGCCGGTGTGCCCAAGAATCTCCCCTCCCCTCTCCCAAAAGTTGTCTTTGCTAGTAGTCGCAGTCAGCTGGGTGGACTGTGACATTTTTGCACCCAATTGAGTCCCCCATCCCTTCCGATCACGTTCTCGCACAATCCAGCCCACCATGTTTTACCGAGCAACCGCTGCCCGCTCCATCCTCCGAGCGGCTCCGTCTACGGTCAATGCCTCTATAACCCGCTCTATCTTAACGAATACCATCTTCAAGTCGCAGTTCACAGCCTCTGCTCGCCAATCGCCTTTCGTCCGTCCCACCACCTTGGCCCTCGCTACCCGAAAGCCGGTAACCACCGCCTTGGTTCGATATGCTTCTACCGCAGAAAAGAAGGCAGGCACCGAGCTTGTTGAGGACCCAGACGTCGACATGATGGCTGGCGTGAAGAATGACGTGGTAATTAGCCCCATGATGCCCAAGTCGATAAATTAAATTAGACGTACCTGGGCTCGTTAACAAATCGTTCATCTGTGCTGCAATCTAGAAAGTCATCAAGGACACATTCAGTCTCCAGGATGTCCCAAAGGAAGCTCTCTATCTCGGTTTGGCCGGTGTTACCCCATATGTGGTCACTTCCCTCAACACCATCTACCTTGCCTGGGAGATGAACAACGCATTGACCACCGGCAGCGGCAAATATATCTCGGGAGAGACCGCTGAGCTCCTCATGAACGTCATGGAGCCAATCCAGGTTGGCTATGGCGCTGTGGTATGTTGCCTGCTTTCTGCCTCGTTTCAAGTAGTTGCCCCCGGCTAACAGTAGTGATAGATCCTTTCGTTCCTCGGTGCTATCCACTGGGGTCTGGAGTGGGCTGGATATGGCGGCAAGGTTGGCTACAGACGTTACGCTTACGGAGTCATTGCTCCAGCTGTCGCCTGGCCAACTCTGCTGTTCCCAGCTGAATATGCGTTGATCACTCAGTTCCTCGCCTTCACCTTCCTGTACTATAACGACGCTCGTGCGGCTGTCAAGGGATGGACCCCATCCTGGTACCACATGTACCGCTTTGTTCTCACCTTCGTTGTTGGTGCCAGCATTGTTGCCAGTCTTATCGGACGTGAGCAACTGGCGTCCCACTATGCCTCGAAGCACGGCGTTGCCGATAAGGTCCAGGCTTTAAGATCGATTGAGTGGAAGAACGAGGCTGAGGCTGCGAAGGAAGCTGAGGGCAAGGAGGAATAAGCCAGCTGCAGTCAAGTGATGGTGTAGACAAGCGGAAAAAAGTTTGCATTAGCATTGGTGGCAGTGGGTTGGTGTTGTTCATCATTCCCTAGGATCGTGTGTAGATTAGCTGGATCACCCTTTTTTTTGTTTGGAACTTGCGAACGCAATAATTTCATTTGTTCAGTTTTCATGTAAATATGTTCAATAAATTGATTGGAATGGCCCTAAATTCCAGCAGTGGTAGATGCCAAAGCCAGGCGAGACGGCGCCGTTCCGCCCTAATATTCTGCGGAGGAGCGGTGGTACCATACTCAGTTCCTGTCTTCCGGACAACAGGATGCGAGCCTAACTGATGATCCCGGTTCAGGTCTGTGCGCCTAGACCGCCAATTGGCATTTGAGACTACATCTAGATCTGTGCCGCAGAAGGGAAATCGACCTCTGCTCAGAAACAAATCGGTCCCAGCCAGCCAATCGTCAAAGAGCATTTCCCGTCTTCAGCTCTGAGAGTTTGCGCAGATGGATACCGTATTCCGTAGTTAAGACAGCAGTTTTGATGGCCCAATGACAGGAATCGAGTTTCCAAACTGAAAAGTTCCTCCATGATATGCATACATTTCCCGTAAGATGTTTTGTTATAAGTTTATATTTGGCATTTGCCTCGATAACTATGGGTCAACTACTCCGTACGGATTTAGTTATCAGACCATCGTTTTTTTTTAAAAAAAAAAGAAAAGCAAAAAAAGAAAAAAATTACTCCATCCACCCCCGATCCACCAGTAAATGCTTTGTGTAGAGAAAATATTCTCCAACCTTGGTGACCGACTAACTAAAAATAACCTGCCTAGGCTTGCTCGTTGCCTTTTAGTCCGTCAATCATTTTCCAAAGCTTCGACAAAACTGCCAGTCAGGTGTGCGTTGTGATGACTTGCATTAGTTAAACCTCCGTTCAAAGCTACCAATACCTCAACCCGCAAACTCACCTCCTAAAGGGCCGTGGTTAGCTGGTCTTGTTGACTTGAACAGTACTGTATGTAATAACTCTCATCCCCTGACTAGAGGTTGCCATCAGACCGGCAGAAAATAAAGTGACCGATCAAATTGCGTAATCCTGCTATCAGAAGTCCAGACAGCAGGTACTCCAGCAGTAGTCATGCGGATCATGTTTCGGTAATCAAGACATTGGATCCGTGGGTCGGCTCTCCCTGATGGCGAAACAAGTCATCCTGCCCGAAAGTAGTTGAACTGAAATAACTTCGAGGGGGGCCGCAGCCAATACGACTCAGAATAGTTGCCTTTTGGTGGGAACGGCTCCGGATGGTTAGCAGGTTTATGAAAGGTTCTTTGGTGTCCTTGAGCCTTTATAAAGACGCGCAAAGTACGAGCAATGTCTGGAGAACGCTGATTCCTACTGTTCTTGATAAGTTGGTAGCATACCTAAAGTGTACGGTGAGCATGAACGCGCGAGATCCGAAATGTATCCAATATAAGATACCTTCGGTCCGATGCATGTTATCACAAGATGGATGCCCTGATCGATAGCACAAATGAACATTCATATTAGATGCGACCTTGCATGCAGTCGTGGAGCAACTGGAGCTGCAGGACCTGCGAATCAGCAGCCCGCTTCCAGACCCCCGGGTTTGCCATCCAACCCGAACATACCGTCACTGCACATGGACCTGGAGTTCGACGTCTCCTGCTATTTAACGACCTGAGATCGTGAGAATTCTGTGGGGGATGCCAAGTCATCAGAGAAACCGATGGCATTACCACCCCAAAGTGTCAAAAGCATGTGGTGATGGGGCATTTTGCACAAGTGGTCAGGTGTTGTAGCTGGGGAAACCTGCTCCAACAGCCTTGGTTCAACCAAGAATCGACCCAAAGTCCCATCGAAGAGCGAGGATTTTAAAGTCGACGCTACGCAACCTAACCATGAAAGCGGCAGAACTGCTTGCTGCCCCGCAATCGGCCACTCCCACATGACGGATAGTGCTTCTTCGCAACCATGATGGCCCCCTGATATGTATAATAGTCTCGTCTCGCTGCCGGCCGAGAAGGGCATGCTCCCTATTACTGCCTTTCAATCTCTGTGCCAATACAACCCCTTCCTCTCTTCCATCCAAAGTGTGCCGCTCAAATTTTACAACCTACCTCAAATCTATTGCCTGGAAAACCGGTTTCTGTGTCGCATACCCCAGTTTGTGCTCCCAAAATTTGCGCTGGCTGAGCGCAGTCGCATCATAACATCCAGGATAAATCTTAGCAAGGTAATAGGCGATTTGGGGATGGCTGGAGCAACTGTCATGCCAATTCGAAGTCAGCTAGGCCGTGATATCGACAGCTCTCAAGTCAGCCAAGCAACCCCGGCCCGGGGTCCATTCATAGCGGATCATAGTAAGCCTCAACGTCGGTTCGTTGGCGCAATCGATCAGGGAACAACCAGCACTCGTTTTATCATATTTGATGATCAAGGGAACCTCGTCGCTTCGTATCAGACAGAGCTAAGCCGCCTACATAAATACCCAGGGTAAGCAATCGAGAACGCACAGGGCGGATACATACCCACAGATGCAGGGAGACTTTTCGAACGCTGACGATGAACTGGGATTATTCGCAGATGGCATGAGCAGGACCCAAAAGAGATTATTTCATCCGTCGAATCCTGCATCGCACAGGCAACGAAGACTTTTGTCAACCTGGGGCACTCCATCTCAGATATTCAAGCTTTGGGGATTACCAACCAGCGCGAAACAACCGTGGTATGGGACTGGGAAACCGGAGAACCCCTCCATAGCGCAATCGCATGGCCGGATACCCGCACAGCCTCGCTGGTGCGGGAATTAAAGTCAAAAGAAGGTGCAGATCAGCTTCAGGAAAAATGCGGGTTACCTCTATCCACGTATCCGTCTTCTGTGAAACTCACTTGGCTCCTTCGGAATTGCAAAGAGGTCAAGGAGGCGTATGAAGCGGGAAGACTGGCCTTTGGAACTGTTGACACATGGCTGCTCTATAACCTCAATGGTGGCAGGAAAAGGGGAGTATTCGTCACCGATGTCACGAATGCCTCGAGAACAATGTTCACCAACCTGCACACACTTCAGTATGATGATTCGTTGCTGAAATTCTTCGATATCGACAGATCAAAACTGAAGCTTCCGAAAATCCTTGCTTCTTCGGACGAGTCCGCTTTTGGATGCATGGCAGACGGCCTGCTTGCAGGAATTAGAATAACAAGCTGTCTTGGTGACCAATCGGCTTCATTGGTGGGACATGGGGCGTTGACGCCAGGCACCGCAAAAAATACCTATGGGACGGGATGTTTCCTTTTATATAATGTAGGTGAAACGCCGGTGATCTCGAAGCACGGGCTCCTGGCAACTGTCGCCTTCCAATTGGGCTCGAAGCAGAAGCCTATATATGCATTGGAGGGAAGCATCGCCGTTGCTGGCAGCGGTGTGTCATTCTTGATGAATAACTTGGGCTTCTTTCGTGACTCGAGAAAGGTCGACGAGGAAGCTGCCACCGTTCCTGATAATGGTGGCTGCATTTTCGTCACGGCGTTCAGTGGCCTCTTTGCTCCATATTGGGTGGATGACGCCAAAGGAACTATCTGTACGTGGATTCCCACGATTGATTCAAATGTGGTGATTACGACCTGGCTGACATATAGCAAAAAGTTGGGATCACACATCACACACAAAGAGGTCATATAGCCCGGGCAACTCTTGAAGCAGTCTGTTTCCAGACAAAAGCTATATTGGAGGCTATGGAACGCGACAGCGGCCAGACACTTTCTGACTTGGCGGTAGACGGCGGATTGAGCAATTCAGACATCTGCATGCAGGTGCGTGGAGGATTACCCCCTTCGACTAGTCGCGGAAACTAATGTACGTTATATTAGTCCCAAGCAAATATAATCCGTATCCCTGTCGAGCGCCCGCCTATGCACGAAGTCACCGCATTAGGTGCAGCTATTGCAGCAGGGCTTGCCGTCGGCGTGTGGCGCAACCTCGACGAGTTAGTAGGGATGAATAAGTCCAACAGGACCGTATTCGAAGCTCAAATCAGCGAGGCAGAGAGCGCCAGGATGTACAAACAGTGGTCGAAAGCCGTCCGAATGTCTCGTGGATGGCTGGAGAGCGACGAAATCGACGCCATTTGATATTCCTTGACAAGGGGTATTTTCACGGTCAGCGACTCTTCATTCCTGTCATTGGATGTAGCAGGTCTTTTGGATACCATTTCTTTCATTTCTTCTTCCATTTTTTTTCTTTTTCTTTTCCTTTTTTTTTTTTAAAGTTCCTTTTTGATCATGTCCATTTTCCGTATAGATTTTGATAACATCTTCTTTGGCCCGTGGCGCTGGAGCTGTGTGTAATTTTGCTGCATGTCTAACTAATCCTGGCTTCGTTATTGCTTTCAATTTTTAAGTCGAGCGATGGCTGGACGGCCATCATGCTACAGCGCGGCATCGTTCAATCACTTCTTCCCATGTTTCTGTATGATCGCCTTCTGCTCTTCACAATGCACTTGTCAAAATTGTATTCCAGACAGATACCCTGATCTTAATGCTGGTAATAGGTCACACTGCCTATCCCGCTGAGCATGGTGCTGTTTTGACGCACGTTTCCCATGATTTGTCTTTTGATGAGTGGGTGAGTGGAACTCCAAGACTCAACGAGTGCGGTTTGCATTGGCCACATTGACTGTGGGGAGGCGCGCTATAGGGAATTGTCATCTGGCCTGGTGAAGAGAGCTCCTCCAGTTTCAGGCCGGATAGAACATATCAAGACTCTACCTCAACGCCTCCATACAGTACGGAGTACCTCCCATATACGGACTACTGTCGAGCCCCAACAGACCAGGGGGTTCTGGAACATCCTGCTTGACTGGCAGCTTTCGACCGGGACCAGAGAATATTTCCCGAGCAGATTCCCATTGGCTAAGGGGCTCCGGGGACTAAGGAGAAACTTACTTTAATTGCCACGATCCTCCGTTGATCAAGAGTTCCACTGTGACCTGGTCGTACACGAATGATGTTATCAGGCTGCACAGTGCTTTTTCGCCGCGAGACGTTGCGCCATTTGGCCCAGCCCTGTTGACCAACTGGAAGACCGAATCAGCTCCGATTTTCAGTTGACCATGCCATGAATGCCAGGAATGGATGCTTCGGTCGAAATTGAGAAGCATAATACCCTGCTGGCCCGCTCAGACTGACCCTATCCGGCCCTCCTCTTCCCACAACGTTGAATTTAGATAGCATGGAGCATCTACTATCCCGGTCTTGACGGCCCTATCGATACTTATTTCTTGACGGACGGGAAGGTCACCTTGATGTATGTCGGTCATACATACATACAAAAATGATATTCGTACACGAACCAGCACATCCGGCATGGCGAATGATTTATTACATCGCAATTGCCTCATCCACTTCCACAAACTTGAAACAAAAAGACCTGAATTATTTTTTTCAGGCTCTACAAAAATGATTCAATTCCCTCGTTTCTTCAAAAATTCGACTTATTTCCTCTCTTAAGCCTTTGACATCAAGTTCCAAAAAAACAAAATGTGCGATTACACGGAAGTCGAGTACATGTGTGGCCATGTTCGCTATTTGGTCAAGGCGTGGTGTGTCGAGTATCAGCGAACACAACAAAGGTGCTCGCCGAACGTTGTGGGAAAGTAAGACTTTTTGCTTCCGTCTTCCTATGCCCGTAAGGTCCTCAAAGCAGTTCCCATAGCTAACAGTCTGCGATTAATTTAGAGAAACACGGCAGGATCACTGCGGTACTTGCGCTCCCTTTTCGCTCTCTACCTTAACCTTGCCCGACACCTCACATGCAGCCCCGAGATATGTCCACAACTTATTATCCGTTTCTAGTTGCCGTGGAGTTTAAGCTGTGAATCTGCTGAAGCAAATACTTATCCATGTCTCTAGGGAGTTGCAAGAAGAAAACCTCGTCGCAGCCATCGTCGTCACAATAGCGGTTGATCCGACCGCCCGCCGCAAAACTCAGTATTTGCGGGGATTCCGGCCTGGATAACCTGCCCCTGCCACTGCTCCACAGCCGGTTCTATCTCTCCGCCGGTTCCTCCTCCAATGTAGGAACCCGATAAATTTTCAATCACATCGAAGAATCGAAGACGGATACTCCCGGATATGGACGATTGTACGTTATATGTGAAAGTTGCGCCAAGAACACCCAAATCGAACCGTTTTAGCGGCAACAGGCGCCTGATGTCTCCGTTTCTTGCGCATCCAATCATTCTTTCAGCTCGGCCAACTTGGTCGCAATGGGGTTGCAAAAAAGTTCCTGGTACTTCCGTCGGATAAAAGGTTACACATGTATGGGTTTCGGGGTTGGTATTCTGATTATTTCTTGGTACTAATCAAGCATGAGGACGGGGCATTGTCTTTTCTTTTTCTTCTCTCTTCTCTCCCGACGGCTTTTTTCTGTGTTTTCTATTCGCCCGCCGTCTTTTGGGTTTTCTTAATGATAAGTGACGACCGCATGTCTGCTGCATATACTCCGTACACCCTCCACTGCTTTAGGTTCATGGTCGGTTTTATCTGAAGCCCGTGGCCGTCTGTGCTATTGTCTCTATCCGTCGAAGCGATATTCCGCCCTTGGCGATCAATTCTCCCCGCCTCATTCTTCCACCCTTGTTCAGTTTCAAGCCCCAAATCATCTCAGTTTTGTGAGATGTCTAACTCTTTTATCATATTTACAACCTGTGGTGAGAATCATGTCTTGATGTTAACATGTTGCCCCAAACCTCCAACTCCACTTGGTTCATGGTTTTCGTATCTGAAAACGCCCAGCGGAGTACCTCATCTTCTCTCTGGTTGAACAAACCACCTTGCAGAAAATCTATTCCAAAAAGGAATGTGGGTGCTCATTATTATGCATCCAATTTAGATGCATATGCATGACATGTTGCTTCTTACATATGTATGTACTCCGTACATCCCGTCTGTTTTCTAACATGCATGTTCTTCCTCTTCTCGCCCAGAGGAGGCTAAAGCATCGCATCCATATCCGTCTCTTTGGAGCCAAAGGCGAACTCTTTAACCTTTTTACTTTCTTTTTCTTCGTCATTTCCAACCTCATCCACGCAGAAGCGCCTCGGACCGTGGAAGGGTGCAGCAGCCGCCCGTCGAGGGTCTGACAAGGGCCCCTACCCTGCAAACCCGGCTGAGCTTTAACTTGTGCGATCTCCTCGATCCGACTTGCGTTTCCTCGTTGACTCAGTGTCCAATACTTGCATTCGAGGATGATATGCGTGCAGGTCATTATGTAAATCTTTACCCGCGGACATGGATTGTTGCCGGATCTAGACTGTCAGCCAAGGGAAAGTTGGAAGCTGGCCCCAGAGACAATGCACTGTTCGTTAAGGAGCTGATGTGTCACCCATCTCTACAGGCACAGGCTAAAACGGGGACACTCAAACCGCGAAATACCACGTGTTTACACCTGAATCAGGAGAGAAAGATGATTTTTTTTCCGGCCACCAACATCATTACCTGAGCCTATCCGACGGCTGTCCCTGGATATCTTTCGCGTTGAATCCCCCCCTCTCCGCCATCCCATGAGTGCTCAATTTTGAGACATCCCTCATGCTTGTACGGATATTTATTTCTCCATTACCCACCCCGTAGGGAGCCGTTGCGGGTATTCGTTACCACAACCTTCATTCGAAGCTTAACGGAACGGCTCGTCCCGGCCACATGCCCGAGATTCGAGTATATTGGTCCTTATCTTTCGCATTTGGGGCAGGAGCATATTCACATTCACTCTCATTGTTGCGAATATGAATATGATCTATCAATCATCTATCTGGTTCGGATACGGGGAATATCGGCTTCAAAAAGGTCTAGGCGTTCCCTGAAGCGGGCACAGACTGCTTTCTATTTTATCGACGCGCGATAATGTCCTTGTGATGATCTCCCCGCGATGGTTCCCCTGTGCTGATATCGTGTCGTTTTCATCGTTTTGTACTATGTAGTATATAGAACATACTATATCCCAATAACCGTGCCTAGCAACCAGATCATACAGGTCATTTACTGCCTTCGTAGATACCCAGAAAACCGGACCTGCCCAATTTTACACATCGGGGTTTGACCCCACAGTCAAAATAAGTAGGGTATATGTATGTACTTAATGTCGCACTGGATGACGCCCGACATTCATCGAACGCTGCACCCCGAAAGCGACATGCATCTTTAAAGAGTAATGCATGAACACCAAGGGGGTACTCCACCTCCAGTTTTTCTGCAAGCTAGGAGGGATATCTATGCATGACATATGCAAGCATTGTCTGCATGTAATACGGACTAGAGAGTAAATTGTTCCGTGCGTTGAATACAGGGTTACTTCATAGCGGGGGTTGGCTGTGTCTCTGTTTTAGTATGCGCTCAGACTTGATCGACCCTATGTGTCTACCCTGCGATATTTGAAGCGGAGACCGTTAAGAGCCAGACGCGGGCTCTCTTTTTGTTGAGGCCATGAAAATAAGAAATGGAATCATGTACGCTAAGCAGCCCAAGTGGTATTGCCATTTTGGTATGTATGCAGCCATGACCCCCATACAAAGCCGACGGAGGTACTGACCGGAAAATGTGGATGGATTGCCGGATGGAATGGAATGGAATTGGTAAAGGTAAATATCTCACCGAGGTGGACAGACGCTATATTGCTCTTTATGCACGCGTACAGAGATGGAAAAGAAAAAACAAAACATAAACCTAGCTAGAAGTACACAACGGACAGATTGGCTATGCAAAATGGGAGAACATGAGAGACAAGGCTCGAAGACTTAAGAATCAGCGTCCAGATCTGGTCGAAAATCCATACGGATATCCCATTCCTAATCTATTCCTGCCCGCAAACCTTCCATTCCATAGATCTAGGAGTCCGTGCGATAAAAGGATGGACCCAATACGCTGTGACCAGCGACGTCGACCCAAGACGGCTGCAGGGTAATTGAGGAGCACGATGTCATAACAGGCTTAACATTAGAAAAGGCAGTGACTTCAGTCACTTTGATCGATCCCTTTCAGGACCGAAGGACTCGGTGGAATAAAGAGAAAAATATTAGGAAATAGACAGCGAGATAGATGGGAGATGGTATCGGTAAATGAGCTCCAGTAGTTAAGCATAATCCCACCAGGACGCAGACAGATGAGAAAGTCCTACTTCGACGTGGCCTTCTCGCCGGCTGGTGGGCTCAACCCGGGGTTTATCAGCGCATCAGGAAGGATTATCGGCGCTTTTGGTGAAGCCCCAAGCTTCTCTAACTTCTCCCCTCTTATCACCTTTTCCATTTCCTCTTTTGTTAAAGTCTCGTACTCTAAAAGAGCTTTTGTGACGAGTTCAAGCTCCTTTCGGCGTTCCTTCAAGATTGATTTTGCACGGTTGCTGGCCTCTTCTACGATGCGACGAACCTCTGCTTCGATCTCTTGCTTTGTCTCGGACGAAAGAGCGTCATAATTGAAGCTGAGGTCAACATTGCCAAGCTTCTTCGAATATCCCATTTGCGTTACCATTGAGAACGCAGTTTCGGTGGCACTGCGGAGATCCTGCGGTAGATGCATATTAGCACAAGCAGAAATCATGAAATAGCCACGAATATAACTTACCGCTGCACTTCCACTGGTGACATTTTCCGGTCCATAAACAAGCTCTTCGGCGGCCTTGCCACCCATCGAAACGTCGATATCGGCCAAGTATTCAGTGTAGTTCTTAGAATAAATGTCCATCTCTGGGAGAAAGTGAGTGACACCTAAGGACATTCCTCGAGGAACAATGGTGATTTTGTACAACGGCATGGCTGCCGGAGAAAAGTATGCAACCAAGGCATGACCAGCCTCATGGTAAGCAGTTAGAAGCTTCTCTTCATCTCTCAAGACCCTGCTACGCGACTCGGCTCCCATGATGATCTTATCCTTGGCCCAGTCAAAGTCTGCTGGGCCAACTTTGGTTTTCTTATACCTGCTAGCGTGGACAGCGGCCTGATTAACGAGATTTTCCAAGTCTGCGCCGGAGAAGCCTGAGGTACCACGAGCAATGACGGCTGCATCGACATCAGTGCTAATCTGCACATTTTTCATATGGTGCTTGAGAATATCGACACGGCCTCGGACGTCTGGGAGACCAACAACCACCTTACGATCGAATCGACCAGGTCGTGTAAGCGCCTTATCGAGCAGTTGGGGGTAGTTGGTGGCTGCCAGGATAATGACACCACTGCTTTGTGAGAAACCGTCAAGCTCAGTCAACAGCTGGTTCAAAGTTTGTTTGACATAGGCAGCGTCTCGCTCGTTTCTTTTCGCACCGATCGCGTCTAGCTCGTCGATAAAAATGATAGCAGGAGCCTTGGCTCTCGCCTGGTTGAACAGTTCACGGACTCGTTTGGCGCCAACACCGACATAAATCTCATCGAATTCAGATCCAGACATATAAAAGAACGGTACACCTGCCTCACCAGCGACTGCACGGGCGAGTAACGTTTTACCGGTCCCAGGAGGCCCAACGAGCAGGACACCCTTTGGAAGTTTGCCGCCAAGAGACGAGAAGCGTTCAGGATTTGACAGAAATTCAACCAGCTCTTGCAATTCATCTTTGGCTTCGTCACATCCGTGAACATCGCTGAATCGAGCCTTCTGGTGCTGCGGCTGTGCTTCATTGCTCTGGGCCCCACGAACATTTTTCATAATTCCAGTTGTCTCAACCAAGAAGCTGACCATAACCAGGGAGAAATAGCAGACAAAACCGAAGTAGAGGATGAATTTAACCCATCTGAAGACTTGACTTCCCGTCGACTCTTCAACCACAACGTATATGGGTGCATCCTTCGCTCCAGTGCCGTTCGTCTTGGTTGACATTCCCACTTGACCACCGTATGTCTGAGCGGCAACGGCTTGGCCGACGGCTTGCATTTGGTCGGGATTCAGATGTTCATGAGACGGTATTTGGCTTTGTCCTTGCATCGAGGCAGACGACATGCCCGTTTGCTGGAGGGCTTTCATATAAAGCTGGGCGGACTGGGCGTTGCTGGCAAATCTTCCACTCTGATAACGTTCGATCAGTATGGCTGGCATTTTTGCTCGTAGAAGGGCGGAATAAAAGGCGTTCTGAGAGCTCGCGCTTGTCGGATTACCGTTGGCATTTTGTTCGATGTATCGCAGAGTACTTTGGGACGGACCGCCGAACAAAAACCTTTGCTGCTGTGACTGGGATAGGCCCTTCACCTTAGGAATGGCTCCCGGACGGTTGAGTTGCAAGCTGGAGAGCGTAGAATAGGAACGGGCCAGACTAGCTTTCGGGGAATTGGACGACGGAAACGCTCCCGCTATCTCTATTCGCCTGGAAGTGACTACTCCAAAACTTGTCAGCCGCAGCTAGGATCCATAGGATACGACATTACATACGCTGAGAGAGAAGACTGGCCGATCTTGCTTGCCGAAGAGCCAGATTTTGCTCCGCCGCCAGTCTTAACGTATCAGTGGGAAGCGTACGGAAGCATTCTGGGAGTGGCAAGCGAGATTCGAACTGCAGTTTTTCGTGAGTATGAGACCGACACTGCCTGGGCACGGCGAAAACACGTACATTCGAAGGGCTTCCATTATGCAACTTGCGAAGGGATTCTTGGCTTGCTGGGGAGGGAGCGGGGCGGGGCGCTGCGGAGGATGGCCGGTTAAGACATCTCCATGGCGCAGCGATCGCATTTGACATAGAGGGCCACAACTCGGATGCTACGTTTGCAACATTCTACGGTAGTCAGAAAACTCGTCAGTATACACACCCTGTAGAGAAGAGACGTCCATGACAGCGCGAGAGCGTACCGGTAGGGCAATGGGGGTGTGGAAAGCCATGGGCGGAAAAGCCTCACGGCTGGAGCGGACAGCGACTCTGATCAGTGTCCGGGAAGAATGGTCGCGCAGGAAGACAGATTAAAATATAAGCTTGCCACAGGGAAGAACTGCAGTCGCCATTGTTCCTCTTTCGAGCAAATTGAACCGGAGAGTCAAACGGTTCTGTTCCTTGATTGAAAAGCAGACCCGGCGAGCGGCGAATCGTGACAAAGCTGCGTTTGCCACCCAGAACGGTAAGCATCAGACCACGTGTGCCCTCCCATTGGCCCGCCCTGTGAGCGCTTTGCTTAGTCAGTGGTGTGTGGCTTTGTCGCGGCTTAGTTAGTTACATAAGCCAACCGCCTAGCAGCTCCGGCGTCCAAATCCGGCTCGCTGGACGCTCTGGGCGGGAACACGACGGGGGAGGATTGAACGAGGAAGAGCTTTGGGGCTTTTTATTTATTTATTTATTTATTTATTTTTTTTTCGGCTTCCTCCATGTAAGGGAGCCTTCGAGTCCTTCTCTCCAGCACCGGCCATCGGTGTGCAGCCCACGCATGGAACCATGGCATACAGGGTGATAGCCTTCAGCGGGCTTCCGCCTCGGAGTGCTCTCAACTGGGATGAATCGGAGCTCCTTCAACCACCGCTACCTCCCTTCTACCAGCCTAGATCGCTAGAAGGAGAAGGACTAAATTCACAGGCCCGATGGCGATCGCTCGCCCCAATCAAAATTCCTTCTTTTATGTCTCCGACGTACGGAGCATCTTTCTTTACAATGGGAACAATTCAGAGGTACAGCGGAGACTCCGTGAGCTTGGACGTTGACGAGAGCACGTTGTCGGAGTTCTACGATCAGTCGTTCGCTCTCCATGAGGGAACGCATCACTCTTTTACGAGTGTTACAAAGTCGTTTACAGACGACTCCGAGCTTACTCCAAGCTTCGAAGGTGAAAGCCTCGATTACTCGATGTCCAAGCTTTCACAGTCCAAGGTCAACCAGCAGAACTTCGAGGGTCAACCTGTTTATGGACACCTGATTGACGTCGAAGATATCCCTAGCGCGATGTACCTACAGTCCTTAGCTCCACGGAAAGTCATTGTGAGCCTGGTCGTTGCCATAATCAACATTCAGCCGCGGCGCCGCGTCCAGACACGATGGGGTCGTGAGATGGACATTGTGGAGCTGTTGGTGGGCGACGAGACGAAGGCTGGGTTTCGCGTGAGTTGCTGGGTGCCGCCGTCGACAGAGGACACAAGGACTGTCACTGCGAATTCGTTGGAGCAGTCGCTCACGGCGTTGCGACTGCGTGACATAATTCTGCTGCGTCACATCGTCCTGGGGTCCTTTCGCGGGCAAGTCTATGGCCAGAGTTTACGGCAGAACATGACGAAGGTTGATGTTTTGGATCGCGAGGATGCGGGAGTTGGTCAAACCGATCGTCCGGGGGAGGCGAACAGGTCGGGTCCGCATGCGCTGAAGATCCGCGAGGTGAGGCGCTGGATGCGGAAGTTCGTCACTCCGGGGGCGGCCGGGAGGGAGGATGTGAACAATTTTTTGTTTGTCGCGCCGGCAGGAACCGTCCAGCTTCCACCTGATACTCAAGAGTGAGCAATGCGCGGCGTGCTCTGCAGATAGCGATAATAATTCTTAATCGGCAGTTCGCTGGTCACGTTAGACCAAAAAGTCGTCCTGCTTTTGGGCGTTTATTTTTATTATTATTTTTTTAATTTATTTATTTATTTATTTATTTATTTTATTTTCATTTTTGTTTTCGTCGTTTGGGCTATCCCTCCTCTTAGTTCATTGATTATCCCGAATGATTTTCCTGAGCGAGCCGTGATTTGCAGGAAGGATGCGAGATGGGCGTTTTGCAGTGTCGCATCGATGCTGGGAGGGGTCGTGCTTTTATGCGATCGAAGGAATGGCAAGACGTTGGCTCGCCACGACACGGGATGTTTAAATACGGATCATCACCACCATCATCACATTGTATTCTCCGGGTGCTATGATGCTCATATAATTGGAGGTGCTCTCAACTCTCCCTGGTGACGTGGCTTTCCAGGCAATTTCTTACGGTTGCATTTCCGTTCCTTGGGAGAAGAGCCCCATCTTTCTCCATTTTCTCCATCAAATCATTGCTCTTGTGCCGATCTTGGTTAAATCAGATGATCCATCAAGCTCCTCCACAGCTACTAATAATGTTGGTCCCAGTTTGTCCGTATGGAGTTCTCGTTCCTTGTCGGGATCAAGCGCTGTCTCAGACACAAGAGGCAACCTTGACGGCGGTCTCGGGCATTCGTAAAGAGGGTCACCTCCATTTTTTTTTCTTTCTTTTGGTCTTTTCTTTTGGTCTCGTTTTTACTTCTTTTTTTTTTTCCATGGCTCAATTTATGACCTCTGGTTCTGGGTCTTGTTTGGGTTGATCTCCGACCGCGTTTTAAGCTTTTCAGGGAGAAAAAGAGGTACATGGATATGCGTGGCAACCCAGCAGAAAGTCCAGGTATTCCGTACTCCGTACCAAGTCAGGTATCAAATAAGGCCAGGCCCGGGTGCCCACCTGAGAAAGTGGCCGTTTAATTAAGTTTTAGTTAAGAAGCGCCCTTAAACAAACCCCCGGCCCCAGCCCAATAGGAGTCGGCATAGTGGCCACCAAGCCAATCCCGGTCCCTCTCTCGGAGCTCCCTTTTTCTTCCCTCCCAAACCCACCCAACTCGCGTTACGCACTTCTTTTCCCTTCCCCTTAAAAACGCCGCATCCCTGGTGCAACAATCTTGACAGCCGCACCGAGTTGTTTTCTCCTACTTTGATATTATTCCCCCCTCCGTCCTTGAAACAATTGCCAGTTGTTCTCCTTTTTCCATCGCCGCCGCTGAAATCCACCCTTCTCGCAAGCACGAGTCTTGCGGCTGTCAAACCTGCACATCTGTCCACAAAGGCCTACGCTCGTTATATCCCTTACCTCTGACCCCTTCATCGACTCTACTCCTCACCAACTGTCGCCGCTGCCGCCGCCCGTCATCGTTGATCGATATACCGCTCCAAACCTATTGAATTCAATTACACTACACTCGTTATCATGAAGGGTACGTTGGTGTGCTGTTTGGTGAAAAAAAAGGATGTTCTGCTAATCCGCTTGCGACAAACTCAGCTCTCATTCTTGTCGGGGGTTTCGGTACCCGTCTACGTCCATTGGTGAGTCTTTCTGACGTTCCGCAGCCGTGGGCGGGGTAATGAGACCGTTTTGCTAAACTTGTACAACTGGTAGACTCTCACTCTCCCAAAGCCCTTGGTCGAGTTTGCCAACCGTCCTATGATCCTCCACCAAGTTGAGAGCTTGGCAGCCGCTGGTGTGACAGACATTGTCCTCGCTGTCAACTATCGACCAGATATTATGGTCTCTACACTTAAAAAGGTAAAATAAAACGGTTTTCCCACTAGCAGCTAGCAGTCGAACGGACCACGCTCACCAGCCCGGCTCCGTCTACAGTACGAAGAAGAATATAACGTGAAAATCGAATTTTCCGTGGAATCCGAGCCACTAGGCACTGCCGGCCCCTTGAAGCTTGCGGAAAAGATCCTCGGCAAAGACGACAGCCCGTTCTTCGTCCTCAATTCCGACGTCATCTGCGAGTATCCATTCAAGGAACTCGCGGAGTTTCATAAGAAACACGGAGACGAAGGTACGATTGTGGTCACAAAGGTGGAGGAGCCCTCAAAATACGGTGTCGTTGTTCATAAGCCAAACCACCCTTCCCGGATCGACCGATTCGTCGAGAAACCCGTCGAGTTCGTCGGCAACCGCATCAATGCCGGCATCTACATCCTCAATCCTAGCGTACTGAAGCGCATTGAGCTTCGTCCTACCTCAATTGAACAGGAGACTTTCCCTGCCATTTGCAAGGATGGCCAGCTTCACTCCTTTGACCTTGAAGGCTTCTGGATGGACGTCGGCCAGCCCAAGGATTTCCTGACCGGAACATGTCTCTATCTTTCCTCTCTCACCAAGCAAAAGTCTAAGCTCCTGTCGCCCTCCACTGAACCATACGTTCATGGCGGAAACGTCATGGTCGACGCTTCAGCCAAGATCGGCAAGAACTGTCGCATTGGACCCAACGTGACGATCGGGCCAAACGTTGTCGTCGGCGACGGCGTTCGGCTGCAACGATGTGTCTTGCTTGAAAATAGCAAGGTCAAAGACCACGCCTGGGTGAAATCCAGCATTATCGGTTGGAACAGCTCGGTCGGCAAATGGGCACGATTGGAGAACGTCAGTGTTCTAGGTGATGATGTTACCATTGGCGATGAAGTCTATGTCAATGGTGGTTCCATTCTCCCTCACAAGAGCATCAAGCAAAATATTGACGGTATGTTTTCCTTTCGACCGACTACGGTATATTTTCTCGCTAATATATGTGTATGCAGTGCCCGCTATTATCATGTAAATTTGATGACGGGGTTGAACTTATGTTATCTCTCCCATAATATTCATAATAATCGTTTTCCACGAAGATTTTGATTCGACAAACAATTAACTACATAACTGATATAATTGACGAAGGAAGGGTCCGGGAAAAGTGATGGAATATAACGGAGAAGGGTGTTTGTGTTTTACCTTGAGCATACGTTCATGTTCCATGCATTTCTCTTCTCAAATTTCGCAGCATTTATCTTCGCTTGTACAAATTTTCTTTTCTTTTTCTTTTTCTTCTCTTCTCTTTCTCCCCCTTGTCTGATGGCTTTTGTGCCTTTTCCCCCGGGCTCTCCCGTTCTTAGCCGCCTTTTTTGTTGGGTTAGGATTTATTGCGAGTTCGAGTTTACTCTCTTCACTCTCCCCTTCCGCTCAACTCGTCGAAAGCGCATATTCGAGTTTTAGTTCCGCTATTTTTCTTTTTTTTTTCCATCTTCTTTTAGTTTTAGCCCCTCTCTCCCCCTTCTTTTTAATCCCGGTATCTTCGCGTGGATGAATAGGAACAAAGGGAAGTGCAAGTTCCCCTCTTTAATTTGCTTTTTCCTGCCTTTTTTCTCTTGCCACTTAGGCACTTCCCCTTCTTCACGCCCCGGTCAATATTGCATACACAAATTTTTAATCCGTTGAGGAGATGCTCCATATTTCTAGTCACGCCGCTCCAGTTGCCCTGCTCGTGTTTCATGCATGAGATGCGTTTCCTGGTTTTGGGAGGGGGGAAAAGAGTATCAATTGAAAAAATACCTTAAAAGGTCTTTGCTCCGTACTCAGGTGTCGACTATCTGTTTCGTATTGTAGCTGTGGTCCCTCGACCCTGTACAGTTACGGGGCTCCGGTGGGAGGTCGTTAGAATCATGCACGAACCGTGAATGATAGGGATATCTTTTCTAATTTTTTTTTTTTTGGGATAAGTTCTATTATTATCAATAAGTGTTGCAACAGGTAATACAAGTAGAAACGTCAGTCTTGGATTCAACACCAAAACCGTCATCTGGGGTTATTCTGTCTAGGCCCGAAAAAGCATACGCAAGTCACTTCCAGCCCACCTCTCATGTTCTAGGCAGCTTTCTCTCCCATGTTGTCTTCCGCTCGGTCCAAAATGTCATCCCATCTAACCCGCAGCTCCTCCATCTCCCTCCAACATCGTCTCCCCAGCTCTTCAAACTCCACCCTCTCCTCAGCTGTTAGGTCTCTGGCTCCTCTTTTCCTCCTCCGTGTTCGATCACCTTCTAATTGAGGACCTCCTACAATGCCACCAAAGCCCCATCCTTCCACTTCTGTGCATACTACGCTCTCTCTGCCCAGCCGGTCACACGATGATCCCCATTTTACCCTGCCTCCACCAAGGGCTGCGTATGCTGCCTCTGCGGCGTCAATCACCGAATGAGGAGCTAGAGCGAGCCAGACGGAGGCAGCGGCGCCACGATAGGAGGAGAGGACGTGCCATGGAGACCCAACGATTCTGGCAAACCAGAATGCGGCGATCATGGCGTAGTAGAGTGGGAGGATAAGGGGCAGGATGGAAGTTGCGCAGATGCCAGGATGCGCGACGTACATGCTTGGTGTCGTGGAAGATAGCTTCCGGTCTTGCAGGGAGGACTTTCCGTTGCTGATGTGATTATCGTCGTCGGATGAGGAGAGGAAGGAATTGACCCAAGGAGCGGTGCTTGGCAATGGAGATGTTAGCGCCAGAATATCCGTAAGATATTTGACCGATTCGTAGGCTCGAGAGGTCTTTAGGCCTTGGATGTCCGATACGTCAAAGACTTCTCTGTTTGCTTCTAGGCTAGATGTCCAGATAATCCGTCCTGGAATGTCAGACTTCTTAAGCAGCGGAACCAAGTTATGACTCAGCATGTAGTGACCAAAGACATTGGCGCAGAATAACTGGCCGAGCGGTGGCTCATCTGGTAACTGCGTTTGCTTCTTCACCAACGTTCCTGTCGGGCTTATACAGTATGAGGACGGCCAAGTCACTGCATATATCAAATCAGTGAGTACCATGTATATCGCACGGAACCAATTTAGGCCGCTGAAGCCAGCAATTCCCGCATTCAGCACAACGACGTCGAGCTTTGGCGTTGAGGCGAGAAGTCGACGGGATAGCGCCCGGACAGATAGCAGGTCGCAGAGATCCACATGCTCTGGTTTTAGCGTTATCCTTTCCAAGTCCCGGCCCGAGACCCCCGCTAAACGAAGATGTCTCTGCAGGTGCGCCAGCGTCTCATTGCTCTTTCTTGTGCTTCTCGTGGTGAATATCAAGGTTAACGATTGGGTTCTCGGTCGTGTATGGAGAAATTCATCAATCAACCGGCGACAGATCGAAAGACCAAGGCCGCTTTTTGCTAAGGGTCAGATCGCTTCGTGTCGTGTGCAGAAGTGTCGGGAGCTGTACCATACCTGTTGGTCCCTGTCACCAAGACAAACACCTGATCGTTCAAGTCTCCAAGCTGTGCTGGCATTGCAATTGAGCCCATTTCTCCGCATCTATGAGCAAGATATGTATCGGAAGAGGGGTGGTGAATCCTGCTCAGAGCTCCGAATCCTCCTCTCCGTACCCCTGAGATTGGGCCGAACTACCGTCCGGTGTAGCTTTCCTTCAAGCTACACCGCAGAATCACGCTATCTTCCTCGCCCAGCATAGTTTCTTGGCAGTGTCACGGGATCTGCAGAAAGCACGTGAGAGAATCTATGAGGTCATGTGACCACTTTCGAAGCCGCTCGCCCGCCGCATCCAAGCCACCCGAGGCTGTTGATCTGCTTGAGGCAGCTGTTTGACTACGAGTTTAATGACCATAACCGGGTCGCCTGGGAACGAGTACATCTCGCCCTTGCCCACCACACCCTAAGAGAATCCTGATACGGACCACCCATGTTGTTCTGCATGCAGATGCCGACATATGTACATACTAATTGGGTCATAATCGAGGATCTGCACTCGAGTGATTCTTTGCCAATTGTGGGGATACGCAATGCAAACAACCCCGGTCCAACCCTGGCCGTCAAGAGCGCTCAATGTCCGGTTCGCCATGACTGCCAGTCTCACATGGCTGGACAACTGTGGCTGCAAAGTCATGGGCAAGAGCCCAGTCTAGGTACTCCGTATGTCACCTCGACGAAGAGATAAAAAGACTGCTAGGTGCCAGGAGAACACCCGACTGGCCCCTTTGCCAGTCTCAGGCGAGTGGAGGAGTCAGGACACCCCGGTCATGCTTCGGCCCGCGCTTTGATTTCGCATGTTTGAAAACATCGCTTAAGCTGAAGCAAGGTCATCAGCAAGATTGGCAAACTGTGGAATCAAGAAAGATAGTGGCTCGTAAGACTTGGGATCCCAGCGTTGAGACGAGGCGAATGTGCGGAGGGCTCCGTTCTCGCAGACGAGAGAGGGAAAAAAAAAAAAAAAAAAAAAGCCAACCCCTAGTTACTTCCCCGCAGTCTTGCTTTGGTATTTAAGCCGTTTCTTGCATGCCGAGCCGACGGAGCATTTTGCTTCCCCCCTTCATTATGCCGTCGACTTTGATATTCTTTGTTGAATCCCCGAGTGTTCATCCACACACACACACGGCCCACGTCGTTCGGTTCATGCCGAAGAGGGGTGGAATCAAGTACTCTGTACTGTGTATGTGGATGTATTTGGCTGCAGAATGCAGTATCCCTGTAAGACTCATGACGTTTTACGTCAGGGGAAGGAGGGAGGTTCGGTCCTGGTAATCGATTTTTGGTGAGTGGTAATGTTTCGGGACGGAATCATGCCGATGGTCAAAATGACAACCGGCTTGCGTTCACCTGAAGGTGACCAGAGACGTTTCTTTTCCTTTCCTTTCCTTTCATTTCAATTTCCCCCCCCCTCTTGCTTCATGTGCCTGATTAGCCCAGTCTCACCCTGGTAGATTGTGGATGTTGTATGAGTATCAAGAATGCTTGCAGTTAGTTCTTTCGTCGGATGGATGGGGGGAATTCGAGAAGAAAAATGGAGATGATCATCAGCTCAAACCACGCTCTCAAAGAAGGGGAAAAGAAAAAGGAACAATCCCACGACTTGACTCATAGACAGGAATGATTAAACTTCGCTACACACGAAGCAAATAGGTGGGAATATTGGGTTGCTTTCGAGCACTAACTTCCCCCTATTGTTGTTGACCAAGAAATCATGCATATGCTTCCCTGCCTCCAGAGTCAGCCATATTCGTAATCGCTTACCAACAGTTCGCTTGAGGACGGTTTGCGCCTCGGATTGCTCAACGGCGTCGCGGCACTTAATAATAGTAGGTTTTACTCCATCCTCCGTGAAAGAGAGATTTACTGCAAACGGAGCATCCTGGACGGTTCGGATAGAATTTCCGAACCTGGAGAATTGCTTTTTTAGGGACGAACTGGCTCGAGGGACTGGCCAGAGCCCGCTTCATGCCCATCCACCCTGGGTCCGCCTGATAGGCGATTTTTAGTGCCAAAGTCTTTTTGGCGGGAACCGATCATCGACGAAGCTAATTTCCGACGTGACGTGCTCATTTGATGTCGCATTTTCGACTCTTCAAACGATTGCAGATGCAGGATAAACGGCTCAGAACTTACAGAACATGTCCGATCGAAGGAGAAAAAAAATATTCCACAGATCTCAAAGCTCTTGTGTCTGGCATGTTTCGTCTTCAAACATATTGTGAATCGTCTTCCAGAGGGGCGTGTGGATTTCATCACTCGGGCAATTTTCATTGGCAAAAGCTCCCACATCCATGGAAAGGTCCTCCCGATTATCTCTCTCGATCTCTCTCTGGCCGAATTTCTAAAACTCGACGGAAAAGAGCCTGACGCCTGAGCCAACCGGTTTTGTCTGATCCAGGCCCACAACCTGCAGGAACCAGCCGTGAAGCTCGAGAACTCTAAAATCAGGAGCTTCATTGACCTTAGAAAAGACCAGCACGGTGCATCCTGATGAGAAACCGGGTATCCGTGCTTTGGTGGACCGGTCCCAGGGCCACAAATCCGGAATTTTGATTGTTGATAGACATGCATACATAACTAAACTCTGCGCGATGGCTAGGGAGAAAATCTGCCTCCTTCACCGCTGGCAAACTCCTGGCAAGTACTCCGTAATACACACCGTTTTGCTGTCTTGTCCTCGACCCGCTTCGCTTCAAACGCAGCGTTGCTGTGTTATGTGATAAAAGAAACGGCGAGTTCGAGTGAAAAGAAAGACGGATACGGACGCCATACCTAACATACGCTTACAGTTTTTCTTTGATACGGCTTGTAATGGCTGAGTTCGCGCTAGGATAAAACTCCGCGGGAAACTTAATTGTGTGGAGAATAGCCGCACCCTCCCGAGCTAACCCAATTCAGTGCGGGGACGTGAACCAGCTTTCTCCGCTCGATTCGGGCGACGAGGTCATCTACGGAGTACATAGTTCAAGTCGTGTTTGCAGGTTCCGAGCTCGTGGGGCATTGCCAGGCCGCTTTCCGGCATCTTCCGCCATCGGTGCCGTTCGTGTTGATGTTCTTCTCAAGAGTGCGTGTTGTACATGAATACACGGTCTCTCTTCAGAGGCTGGTTGATGGACATAAAAATGAAAGCCTTTCGCTCACCGATTTCAAGAAACCCGCTGTCAAACACAGCAGTGTGCTAATTAACCAGGATGCCCCATCCTTATGATCGACCGCGGAGTTACCTTAGTGTAAGACTCAGCCACAATCTTGTGGAAAAACCATGTGCTGCCAAATTCATGGCTCATTTGCAGTAGTGAACCACGCATTGTGGCCCGTCAAATCGCAGAGTGGAGCCTAAAGGGTGCGATCTGACGAGATGCTTAGCAAGCGGAGCTCCCGCTGATCTGCCTGGTCTGGGCCCTTCAACTTGTTACAAACAAGAGCTAGCCGACCATTAAGCGCGCTGAAATCGAAATGCTTTCAACTCTTCCCGTTTTCCAGGCGCCGCCCAGCGAGCTCCTTCATACATCCGCTGGAGTGAAGTTCCTCCGTCCCAAAGCCAGTTGTCGCTGAAGAGGCGAGCGCCTCATAATCATGCGACAGCTGATCTTCCAAAACGGTCTGCATTGAAGAGCGGGGAGGGGAAAACAGAGTCCAAGAACCCTCACTCACACCCCCTTTGCAGGCCAATTCATTATTGGACCATTGGTGAACGGGCACGCTTTTACCCTTGCAACACCTGAATAATAACGCCGTTCTGATATTACCGGTGAATCCTCCGAACTCGGCAAGGACGTTCACGATCGTATCTCGGATCTGCATTCGATTGCAAATTGGATCTGCAGCGTGGGAGCGCAAGGGTGGAGGTCCCAGGAAAGGTAATAGTAGCCGCCGCGCTATCTTTCTAGTATGAACATCAAGTACGGAGTACTCCGTATACCGAAAAGCTACTAAGGAACATCAGCAGTACGGTGGAGGATAGCAGTAAAATTGGACGCTTTCGGCGGACGAGTTGCGGACAACACACCAAAAAAAGCAACGTTATTCCCAACGATGCTCCCAATTGTAACTCTCGGTTAGTGCGCCACACGCACTGAGCTGTGCTTGTTTTGAATGCACGCCAATACACAGCGTGTTGCTGATTTTTTTTTTTGGCACGCTTCAGAAAAACGTGGTAACCTACTCCAAACCTGGATCGCCGAATGCACGCGGGTTCAATCCCCTCTGCAAAAGGAACCAGCACCATCGCCCTGTCGCCGAGAGCACCGTGCCTTGATATGACGCCGTTCTTCATATCCATCTCAAGCAGTTGATGTTTCATACCGGCATCGCTATTGCATTTTCTTTCATCTTCCTCGTCGATAATTGCGCATATATTACTCCGTAGAAAGCGCCACACTGTGTGAAAATCAGGGGAGGTATGTACATTGTCCTTTGCCGAGCCACAGCTTACCCAAAAAATGCAAAAGTTTACCGTGGAAGGTCGAACAAATCGAAGAGCGAATGTCGAGACAGCCAAGAGACTCTGCAGCCGGGGGAAAATTGAAGAAAAAGAAATGGGACGGAAAGAAGCCAGATTCAACAAAGCAGCAACTTGCAAATGCAACTGGCTAGCTCCAAACATTGGAAGACAGCGAGCTTTCCGAGATTAGCTCGAGCAGCACGGTTTTCGTCTCGACAGCGTCTCCAGATATTAATCCCTGAATTTTGCAGCTGCACATGCTTTGAAACATCTTTGAAAAGCTCGTCTTCCCGTTGATTGGCATGCTTTTTTGCTCATAATTATTTTTTGGGGCACACATGACATCCGGTGCTTCCTTCGAGATCATCGAGGCCACGTAATATTGAGGAAGTCAAGAAGATACATTCCGGAGAGTTTGATCGTTCTGGGAGGATCTTTTTCGAGGCTAGAACCAGTTCACACCATGGTGCTTCAGAGGCTGGAGTTGGAGTTAGCCGAAGAGGAGGACGGATGGGTGTAATTTCTTTTGGGGGAGAAAGTCATGGCGAGATCCGTTGTGGGGCGTATCCGTTTAGCACCTGGCCGGTGGTCTTGGCTTTCATGCTGGCTAACACACCCAGAAAACACGGGGGGAACCACAACCTTAACCAATCCCAAACGCCCGCTGCGGTATGTAAAATATGGGCGCCAGGTATCGCAACGGTACGTCGTTACCTGTAAGCCCTAGTATTGAACGGATACATCGGTATCTAGTGTAACGTGACCTCTCCCATCCCAGCCCAATGGCACAGTTTCTCCAGTTTTCCCAGCGCCATTTTCACCCAAAGCTGAGGAGGCCATCCCAGCCTGCTGGGATCCTATCAGATTCGCATGTTCCAACATTGGTGTTAACATGCCGCTGCCCAGCACGCCTAACCCCGCAGGGGCGGAGGCTCCAGGCTGTCCAGGAACAAAGTCCGGAACCTCTGAATTGGGCGATGGACGCCAGCGAAGGACGATATGAGAGTGAGTCGAGCTTCCGGAACATTTGGATGGCCTATTTTCCAAGTCGGCGATGGGGCTAAACAGCTGTGGTTGTAGTGTTCTCTCGCTAGTGCTTGCTACTTGAGAGGATAAAGCTCTACCAAACCCCTTGCGGCATTGAAGCGGTTCGAGAATATGAAACCAGTTGTAGCTGCTACTTTATGCAACCACCTTCTCCTCATCTCGAAGGAAGTACCTTATATTTGTAACCAACTGACGCCCTCCGCTAAACTTAGGTCAAACGAGCATATGGATGACGGGAAACCATGGCGAAAGCCACGATCCAACCGCGTGTCTACCTAACCCAAACACATCGGGAGAATGACAGGCTTTTGGACCAGTTCTCAGTAGCGCTTCTTCCTTACCGTGCGGGGTGGCTTCTGGCGATTCTGGGAGCCACGTCGGCAATGCGAGCGAATGGGATCGTATACGGATAGATTGCGATCGAGAAAAATGATTTGCGCAGGGGAAGGACGTCAGGTGTGACCATCAGAAGAACCATCTCACTATAAGCCCACCACGATGAGGGGCTCTCCCTGCATGTTTTCATGCTGCGCACAACGAATCAAGGCCGGTTTGAGCCACCTTATGAGCTTCTCGGCACGTTCCCGGTGAGCTATAACGGCAGAATCGTGAATAAGCTGAAAGACGTATTATGATTCAGGGTTTATTGAGCGTCTGTGAAACCCAGGACGTTGGTTGACGTGTGAAATGATCGACATCGTTGGGTCCTTTGAGGAGAAGAGACGACAACCTTGCGAGGCTTCGGTGAATACCCTCTTCTTTTCAGAGAAATATGCTCTCGATCGAAGCTTGAGGCCATTTATTCTTCCTTTGAATAAAGTGTCAAGGACCTACATATTCGCCTCCATGGTTAACACAGGATGTTTTGACGACGAGGTGGAGGTTGAAGACAACCGCGAATATGGGCCAAGGACACAGTTATTGGTTACATTTCGCACACTGACTATTTTAGCGAATCCCAAGGGGGCGAGAGTGGCCAGAGATCAGATAAACAAAGCTTTCTTGACTGGGTTGAAGCCAGAGAGATCTGGGGTATTAACAAACTTGGCGGTGCACGCAGGCCGACCCATGAATCGGATCCACTTCCTTTGCGGCGGAGTGTCAAGCTTCAGAAAGATTCCCAGGGGCGGCAGGTGGTGACAGATTGCCTGAAATTCAATATCCCTTGCAAGATCTAACGTTGCTTGAAATGAGGAAGAGGGAGCCATTATTATTTTCGCAACAATCAAGGTGTTCGATGGACGGCTCGCCTGCCAACAGCTGATGCGAGATGTTACCATCTCGTCCTCCGTGCATGGCTGTATGTATGTATGGACCGTACTGTACGTATCTACATACCGTAATATACGGCACTGTACTGAAATACGCATCGCGACCTTGTTTAGCTCCCCCCCCGGCGAGTTGACGCCATTGGTTCCACGAGCCGTCCCAGTTCCCTTCGGATTGCGGAGTTTGAGAGCGTTTCGGGGCTAGCGGGCTTTTCCCTGACGGCCAGTTCCGCCTGCCCGACACCAATCTGGAAGAGCGCATGCAACTTGCAGGTCGTAAAATGACCGGTACGAGGAGGGTCGCAGGCATGAATATCGTACAGGACTGGCCCGTACAGCGCTCCCGTCATTACTCGGTACGGAGGGGTCGGCGCTATCCCGTCACGTCAATACCGACCTGCTAAATTAGCCCGCCCTTTCTGCTAGCCGCATCGGGGCTAGGGTGAGATTGCCCATCTTGACAGGGAAGCTTGGCTCGAGAGTGCTCGTCCCACGTCTTGGCTCCCTTTCATGCTTAAGTCGCCTCAATTCTCGCTCCCCAAATCAAATAATCTTTGTCAAATTCACAGTGCTTGTTGCTGTCGCTGCAGAGCTGGTCTTTGGCTTCCTGTTATACTATGTTTTTGCAGAGCACCTTGTTGAACCGACTTCCTTTTCTTATATACTTCGCCCGGTTACGATACTCGCACTCCAATATACCGCCACCCATTCGTATGCTAGCATCCTTTCTCCCTCTTTCCGCATACCCACATATATCCCCTCGTTGTCTTCCGCAAAGGACGGTGTAGCAAGCAAAAGAAGAACGCCATGGCACGGACACGCAGCTTCCCGTGTCCATGGGCCACCTGTAAAAAGGTATAACCTGACGCCCGTCCCACACTTTATCCCGCCTGGCTTCTGTGACGTATCTCAAAAGGCATTTTCGTGGATATTAATGGCCGCTTAAACACAGGTTTTCAATCGCAAATCGGACCTGTGTCGACATTACCGAATACATACCAACGACCGTCCGTATCACTGCGAGTTTCCAAACTGTACAAAGAGCTTCATCCAGAGGTCTGCCCTGACTGTCCACTCGCGGACCCACACCGGCGAGAAACCGCATGTTTGCGACGTCCCGAACTGTAGAAAAGCATTCTCAGATGTGTGTGATACAGCCCCTCATATTTCATTTTTGACCGTTAAACCCGTCCCCTTCTCCCACGGCTCGGCCTGTGATTGCTAACCATTTGCGTACAGTCATCCAGTCTTGCACGACATCGGCGGATACATACTGGCAAGAGACCCTATAAGTGTCTCGAGCCGACTTGTGAGCGAAGGTTAGATTACATGTATACAGTTTGCAGCTGGATGATAACTGACCGATTCCCTAGTTTCTGCCGGAAGACCACCTTAACAAAACACCAACATCGTTCGCATCAGCTAGAACTCTCTTCGCAGGCCCATTGTATTCCGCAGCATTCTCCTCAGGGCATATACTCTCAACCACCATCTCAACCACCGCCCGTATTACCACAAACAACACAAAATATCACCGAATCCCTACCAGCATATCAACAGGCCGGAATTATGATTAGTGCCGCTGAATTCTATCCATCCCAAACACAACCAGTCCACGCAATTCCAGTTGCTGCCGAAAATACCGTCCTTGATCCTGAGATCCAGTACGTTGGCAGTGGGATGGTAATGCAACCGCAGATTCAACGCTTCGATGTCACCCCAATCGAGTCTCTTACTCGCTTTCAGCCCATACCTCCAAATATTGTACCTCACTTCGAAGCCCTAGCTCCAGCGCCCTATGGTGGAGTCTTCCCCCTAGACAACAAACCTTTGGGTCCACGCATTCTGGATCCATATCCGGAGCGAGGAAATTTTGATTTCTTAGGCCTGGAAGGCTGAGATGAAACTTCTATGATTCTGAAACTTATATCGCCTTTCTTTCCTTTTAAAGAATCGCAGTTTCGCAATAGTGCAGTGCCATGTGACGCGTTGCATTTTCAACTTCTGATTTTTTTTTTTTTTTTTTTTTTTTTTTTTTTTTGTTTGTGGAGCCAAGACAAATGACTGGAGTTCGGTAGGTGTTGTTATACAGCTTTTTAACCAATTCTCTTCAGTTTTTGTATATTGCTATGGACTTTTTCTGTTGCCATTGGAGGATTAAAGTTTTCATGCCAATACTTGCTCTTTGCCTTCCTCGATATGAAGACAGATAACATTGGCTATATTTGGAGATACTATTTTTTTGCTCCCTACTATTCCCTGATTTGGGGTGGATTGGAGTTTTATGGGCATTTCGATACAGGGTCAGGACTGAAGGAAAAGGATGGAAAATCCCTTTTGGAATGATGCTCCTTCTGTTGAAATCTACTCATTTATACGGCAAGATACTACTGAAGTAATATGAAGCTGCGCGACTTAACCCGCAAGCTTACTTTGTTGGGACTGCAAAATCTCGCATTTCTGTGTCCGATGTCAATACTATGCTACCTCAGCCGCAAAGCGCCTACTCTCGGTGAATTTCGCTAACTAGCGATTGAATACATAGAAGCTTGGCATCTTAACCATTTCTACTTTATTTATTAAGGCAAGAAAGAGAAGAATACAGATGCCATAGAAACTTGTGGTTACTTGCGTCTCAAGACAAGGCTTTGACAACAATATTTGTCTTTCAGCATAACTTCCGGTTCAGGCGAAGGGGGATCTAGCTGGAGAGCCTCAATGAAAGCCTATTTGACGCCCAACGATTCCATCACTCCTGTGCAGAGGAAGCTCAACAGGGTGACAGCCTCGAGAAATGCCATTGGAGAGTGGTGCCTCCATGAATTTAATGATGACAGTCAAACATTCCAGAAGTCGGGTAAGCACAAGCATTTCGTACATATTTCCCAGCCAGCGGCGAGCCAAGGGTTATCCTTTCGGATGCATGATTAGTTCTAGTAATCCTGTACGCCGCATTCCCGTTTAGGGAACCGGATTGAGGTCAAAGAACGCTCTTCAAACCCGCCTGGTGAGACTGATTTGAATTGTCGGAGTTCGAACGGGGAACGCACACTCTATACGGAGTACGGAGTATGCAGCATGGAATAAAGCCTCACTTCTCAAAACCAATAGCTTTTGGCTTGCGGGGGTTTCCAACATGGAGGGACGCGAGGCTTGAAGACTTCACCGCGTAAAATACGCACCAACAACTTCCGAATAGCTAGCAGATTGCCTCATTGGCCAGAATCTCATGTTTTCTTGCAGGCCCCAGGTTTCTCTCACGAGACAATGACAAAGGCTGGCACCTTGAGGACACGAAGCTGAGGGTCACGCTCAAAGCAGAGGGATTTCGTTGATCGGCCAGCCGCACCTCAAGAATCTAACAATTATTGCGATGGGATCCCTGGATATAATTCGTCCATCGACGCTCTCTTAGCGACAGGGTCACAAAATTGGCAACCCAAGATATCGGGAAACAAAACAGCAAAAACCGATACCGGTGTTTTGTTGGAAGGCTTGGAGGAGAATCAATCGATATTCATGACTTTCTAGTTCTTTCTTTTTTCCTTTTTCCTTTTTCCTTTTTCCTTTTTCCTTTTTCCTTTTCCTTTTCCTTTTCCTTTTTATTTTTATTTTTTTTTATTTTTTTATTTGTTTTTTTGTTGGTCCTCTCGAATACTATTCCATACGCTAACGGAGATGAAGGACGGCAATACCAAGGGGTGAGAGCCACCCATGCAAGGTTAGCGAGAATGAAAATATTACGTCGGAATATTCTTGCGTGCAAATGACATTGTTTTATCATATATCATGGACAGAGATGTGGGAACAAAAGTAATAGCTGGTGCTGCTAGCGACGTTACAGATGACCATGGGACTCGTGTTTGACAGGAGGAACCCTATATACGCCAATGAAATTGGTTCTTCCCGCCCCAGACCGCCGGAACCTCCAAACCATTAACTAAGCCTCTGCCTCGGCTCTCAAGCTCAACGAGCAACGGAGATTTACAGGGGCGTTTAGTTCATGATCGTTTCTTTGTCTCTGGCGGCGCACGTTTAAATTGATCGTCCACAGAGTCAACCAGTTACCAGACCTCAAAATTACGTACGACAATTCGAATGGTTTTGGTTTGCACCTCATGCATGACCGCGCAGTGTCAGGCTGTACGGAGTACTCCGTACTCTGATCTTTATTGGTATGTATTGTTCAGGGACAAAGAAAAGGCGCAATGCTAATCCCTCCAGTCAGGTCCAGGTAAGGCTGGAGTCCGGAAGATCAGGGATTGAAAATCATGTTCGAACAGGGACTTGTCCCACACCGTTACCAGCTGATCAATCCCTTTTCGCGGTCAAATCCACCCCTGAGCTGCAAGCCGGGTTTCACAACTTTCCCCTGGAGCACAGTAAACTTCACAATCCCCTCGCAGTCTTCTGGCCTGACTCGTGCAAGCCAGATACCCTGAGACGCTCCCTCCTTTTCCATCGACTCAACGTTGTTCGAACAATCGTCTTTGCCTTCCTTAAACCATTCGAAATTCCGTCTTCGATACACTATGACGTTTGCTGAATATTTGTGTCCACCGACATGGCTGATGAAATAGATACCAACACCACCAGGCCTCTCATCATGGAGGTCCCGATAAAGACCCAGCGGACGCAAGTGTCGCTCGAATTCTCGACGCAGCAGCGGGGCCGATTGACCACAGCGGGCATCTCGAGTCTTTTGAGAGCAAAGGAGTATGACAGCGGCGTGCGAGCAAGGGCGAGAGCGAAGAGACGTAGGCAGTGATTCACTTAGATCTTTGAGATCGAGAGGCGGTCGTTCAGGTATGTTGATGTCAGAGGGGGTCTGTTCGGTGGGTTCTTCTTGCCCCGCTATCTGCATGACGTCTGACAAAGGAGTTGTAGTTGTCGGAGAAAGGTCGACGAATTGCCTGATCAAATTCGGCACCAGAGCAGGCGTTACATGGTCAATTATTGTAAATGCAGGTAGTAGGAGGACGGTTGTTGGTTGCTCGCCCTCGGGATGGTGATAATACTCATCCGGTACAGGAATGTTCGATGCGGACAATTTAAGCGCCTACAATGCGCCTTTTATTAGACGCGCTTTATCCCTTAGTTAACGAAGGGGGTGGAAATGGGAATTTCATACTCCGTTCTTTGCACTAACTCCCCCTCTCTCAATTGCTTCCATCACACTCCCTTTCTCATCCGCAACGTCCCTCACCCAGTCTGTCTTCCCCGTGGCAACGAGCACATGCGTCGCCCACCCCTTCACATGTCCGTATAGTTCATCCTCATAGTCAACGCTAAACTTTGCAGGATACTTTATCGTGCAGGAGGCGCAGTCATGGTCGCAATCTTCGCCGTCAACGGTAGGGTCGACAACGGTGAAGAGTGTACTTGGAGATTGGGCGGTGATAACTTTTGAAGCTACAGCGGGCTTTCCGGTTGCAGGTACACTGGTGGCTTCATAATCGGAAACAGATGAAGGCGCCGGAGAGGCAGAAGGGGAAAGATACTCGAGTCCGCGACGGAAGATAGATGCCATTGTTTCAGAATAGTGCTTTAACTATTGGGGATTGACCAATTGCTGCCTTATTTTTTAATCTATTTTCGATCCATATATTCTCAGAAAAGGTTCCAATTCCTTTAAATTTTTGTTCGGTTCGCAAGAAAGAATCCGAGGAAGAAAGGCTGAAGCGCGATAACGAAACCTTATCAGATCGGTTGACGAGGAAAAGAAGTCCGGCAAAGCTTTTAAAGTTATCTTATCTGATGGCGGGTAATTGAGTGAGTGAGTTGCCCAACCTTGCCTGGCGGCTTAGTCAGAAACGCGGAATTCAAGCAAGCGCTGATTGATTATCTGATCCGCCCATAATCGGGCTTTCGGCATCGGAACCCTGCCGGAATCCAATTCTAATTCAGGCTTGAGTTGGAAAATGGTAGCAACTCCGTTCACTCCGGGATTTCATAATAGGTACGGAGTATGGGATACATGTTTCGTACTTTAGCAGGACATAAAACAGGTAAGACCTGGATACTTAGTCATAGGCTTATAGGCCTACCTAGGCCAAAGGAATCCAAACAAACAGGATGCACCAAAAATCTAAAGAAGATCCATCCGAGCCCTCATGATGTCACTTATTCCCAGCTTGTACTCACGCATACTGGTACATTGGCACGACTCGTATCTCCAACTCCTGCAAAAAAGCATACGCACTCGGGATATACAGCGGCGTGCCCAGTTCCCTGTTTGATGCATTTTGATGGTATTGATGTGCTACTGCCGTAGTAGCCATTTTCTCGATAGAGAGCGCAATATTGGGATCAAACAAGCCACCCTTGGGCGAATCCTGGCGTGTTGACCGGTGACAAAGGCACAATGGCAGCATCCTCTCCTGAAATCCGCCTCGCTATTCTCGATGACTACCAAGGCATTGCACCGCCGCATTTCCTACAACTGACTTCTCGAATCCAAATAACCAGCTATGACAACACCCTTAGTCCCTTTGACCCGTCTCAGAAGGCCGCTCTCATCGAACGACTCCACCCATATCACATAATCAGCACTATGCGCGAGCGCACCCCGTTTCCACGGGAGCTCATCACCGAGCTGCCAAATCTGCGATTTCTCTTGACCACAGGCACTCGAAATCGTTCGATCGATCTTGCCGCGTGCGCTGAGAATGGGATTATGGTGGCTGGGACCACTGGAGGAGGCAAACACCAGGATATGAGCGCATTAGTTCCCCCCAGTTCTACGGTACAGCATGCTTGGGCGTTGATACTGGGGATAACCCGAAATATCGCAAGCGGTGACGCACTTTTAAAAGCTAGTGGCTGGCAGGAATCGGTTGCGACTGGCCTTTCAGGCAAAACTTTGGGATTGCTAGGCTTGGGCAACCTGGGTGCCGAGGCGGGAAAGGTTGGCGTCTTAGGATTCAATATGAAGGTGATTGCTTGGTCAGAGAATCTGACTCAGGACATCGCTGATGCTCAAGCGCTTAAATTGGGCCTTCCCGTGGGGACGTTCCGAGTTGCATGGACTAAAGAAGAGCTGTTCCAGGCGGCTGATGTGTTAAGCGTGCACTATGTGTTGTCATCACGGAGCCAAGGGATCGTAGGTCGCAAAGAACTGGAGATGATGAAACCAACTGCCTTCTTTGTGAATACATCTCGTGGGCCGCTGGTTGATGAAGATGCATTGTTGGATGTTTTGAATGAAGGAAAGATAAGAGGGGCAGCTTTAGATGTGTTCAACATCGAGCCTTTGCCTCTGGATAGCGAATGGAGAACCACCCCGTGGGGTCAAGATGGGAGAAGCGATGTTTTGCTATCGCCACACATGGGCTATGTGGAAGAAGGCATTATGAATCGTTGGTATGAAGAACAGGCAGATAATGTTGAGCGATGGTTGGACGGTAATGAAGTGCTGACGAAGCTCTAAAACCCAAGTATGTAATTAGATCATTTAATGTCACAATAAGTCGAATTTAGAGATTGGGTTTTACCTGTCAACTATTCTCTTTGGAGTGTTTGTTTTGTTAAAAGCCAGTGTATTCCGTCTATCAAACAATACGGGGAATGCGTTCCCAGTGGAGCCAATTAGCCGGCCAGCATTCACGGCGCTGCTTCCGTAAAGTAGAAACGAATCGGATCTGCACAAATTTTCAAGAGATTCAAATAGATTTCGTGGATGGCGTCCGACTTTGACTTCGAAAGCTCTGCCGATCAAACCCACCACGCAATCTAAAGCTCGCCTTTCCCGACGAACTAAAAGACGGAAACCGATAAGGCCCACTGACGGTTCGTCGAACTGAAGCAAAAGACAAAGATGACCCCGTATTTGAACCTGACCGTCCACTGAATGAAGCCATGTCATCAGAGCATCCTTCCATCCGCGCGCTAGCAACAATTTCCGGGTTCAGCATCGTCATGCCACGAAGAATCTCAGCAAACGTTCCCATCATGGCGCGAAACTCGGTCTCTGTCAGTGGATGTGATGAAAACCGAGATTTTTCGTAGAGTTTCAGGAAAGAATCTCCCAAATGCGGAGGATTAATCAGCCCCAACTCGTCCAAGTGATTCATATAATCCCGTAAACACATCGACAAAGGCCGTTGTAGAATTTTAACGATACGCCCATCCGGCGTGTGCTCGACATTTTCATGGGCATTCGAATAATCCAGGCTTCGACCATGTTCCAACGGTAGGAATCTCGGATCGGTGGGAGCCAGAGACACGGCTTTTGCCTCGATCAAATGCGGCAATTCCTTGATAACGGGCTCAAACTCCTGCCCAGGTAAATCTTCACAATCCGGAGCAGTCCACCCCGGATGAGCCACGACCCCCCAAGGTGGTGGTCCGTCCACGGAAATAGTCAGACTTTGGTCTGAGAGGCTGTTATCTTCCCCTGACCGATCCCTCGGCCGGGCTTGCTGTGCGATAATGGCGCTTCTCGTCAGACCCTCGACAACGAGGCGACGCACACTTTTCTTCACATCAGGCTTCTCAACGGGAATCCATGCCTTGGGTATCCCGGCTATAATGCTGCGGTTGGTGAAGATGCGGCTGGCGTATATCAAGATGACGAGCAGAAGGGTGAATATGTAGACACTGGTGATGGCAAAGATATTACGGATCTGATGGCTCGTGTAAGACTGGTAGATAATATCTCCGGGTGTTAACAATGTAAGGACAAAGAGAATAACGGAAAGGATGGTGAAGGATGTAGTGTAGAAGAATCGATAGACGGTTGATTTGCCTGTCATGGTTGCAACAGGGTTGTTTCACGCCCTGTCTGATCGCCCAATCACCGAGACGCAGCGGCAACCATGTTTGAGAATGCTTTAAAACGTGGTTACACGGCCTCAGCTTGCCGTGGGAACGATGGCTCCGTCTTCACCCTGCCTACGATCATGGCCAGCTACCGTCGGTTGCGCTTCGTCGGGCGCCGGCAGAAGGAGGTCGTTGCTGAGTCAGCCGAGGGCAGCCACGGACTCAGGGGCTGCGCAAAGTTAACTAGCAAGGCTGATCCAGACCAAACAATTGACTTTACAATTGACTTTCTCGCAACAATTCACGACACCTCTTCAAGCCAGATACTAATGTAGCTTCGCCGTTGTTCCCTTCGTCAGCTGCATCCACAGAAAGGGATGACATTAGTTACGAGAGGCAACATGGAAACCACCGATTCATTTGACTACAAGTGCTGCGTCGTGCTCTGACTTGAGATGAATTCACGAGGCTCATGGGACCTGTAAATGTTATACACATGGGTGTAATCTCTCGAGATATGTCAACGATATGTCAAAATGGTAGAGGCAAAAGTAAAATCACAAGAATATCTATCTCCGCTTCCTAAATTATTTGCACATAGGGACGGGGTTGGGGAAATGTTAGAGGGAGGGCAACACCGCAAGAGGTGGGGCAACGCGTAGGGGAGGGGAGCAAGGGACCAAAGCCAGAACCAGGAAGGAAAAATGTAGCAGGTAAGGGGGAATACATTAGAGTCATACGGTCATGTCTTAGATAAAACAGAGAACAGAAAATCGTAAACATCAAACTCCACAGACCCAAAACAGAGACGAAGCCATGGCCGGATTAGCCGCGAAGTTATAAGCTCACCAAGATCAGCCGCACATGATCTGATCCGAAAAAGATCCATAGATTCACCGTTGCGGCAGAGATGGGATGAGAGATCATAAGCAAGGAACGAAGTTGATATGATATATATTGAGAATTTCTTGTCCCTTGAACGCATTGAAAAATATTATCGACTTGGGAATATAAACTGATGACCAGAGTTTTGAAAAGGTCATCGTTTCGCAAACTCCCGATCGCTATCGCGGTGGCACAAAGACAAACTTGCAAAGGGCAAAAGCCCGTTCGACGGTGTTGGCTAGCTCCGTATACGCCATGAATGCAGGGAATCAACGGGGACGAACAGTGTGCAAAATAACCACAGTCTAACTCAGTTCTCAACTGGCTGGCAGAACAGCTGGATCTCTCCAACCTGCCCATTTGCGAGCATATTCTGATGTTGCTCACGCCATTCCATAATCGCCAACTGGACAGCTTCGTCGCTGTCAATAGTAACAAAATCACCATCCTCATCCCGGTAGCGCAACCTTGCCGACTTGGCACCAATTGAACGCGTTGTGAATCGGGCGAGTTTCGCATCAACCCGGTCAGTCAAGGAACGATAAAGAATGTTGCTTGCAATCACTAGTGTAACATAGTTGTCATTAAAGTTAACCTTGGCTTTCAGTTGGGCTGGCATGATGTTCTCCACCTCTTGATTCAAGGAAAGGCTGGAAGGATTCGACGTCAGAGAAGGTTGCGAACGAAGGGTCTCACGGCCTTGCGCATATTGAGGCTCGGTAAAACCGGGACGCAACGACTGGGGTGGCGGCATTGTACCGGGGGAACTGCTTTGGCTTCGATTGATGGGGGTTCTCATGTTGGCAATATTCGCTGGAATGGGTGGAACGGGCACATTGTCCACTGTTTGCATTGTATGGCCATTCAGATGACGACGAGCCGAATCAGGGAGATTATGGTTATGAATATCGGGGCTACTGGCAGAGCGCATTCTGGATTGCGCGGGGTTTTGGGGGTTTTGAGACGATAGTGGAGGCAATGAAGGACGCTGGGTCACACGAGGAGGATTGCTGTAGTACGGAGAAGAGGTAGGCCCATCCCGTGATCCTGCTCTGGGCATTGCTGGAGCGGTATAACGATTGGAGTCTTCATTCCATTGGCTAGATGGAGTGCCTTGCCGAGAATAGGAAAATGTAGTCGATGAGCTTGACCTCGTGGACGATGGTATTTCAGCCACAGGGGAGAAATATGAGCCGGCGAGTCGCTCTCCAGGAGATAGAGCTCCAGGAGAGAATTGTGTGTGGAGAGAAAGAGGTGGTTCCGGCATCGGGAACCGGGGCGGACGGGATACAGGTGGACCGGATCCTCCGCTGCCACCTGTCCCTGATCGAGCTCGAAGACTCGTACTGGACGCATTACGTGACATCGAGAGCTCCGAGACTGCAGGGGCCAGGTCTTCGTCTGCGTTATACTCTTCTGCATAAGGATTTTGCATCTTTGCATTCTTGAGATAGGTAAATTCCGTTTCGGAGGTACCACTGCGCGAAGTATTTCGTTCTTCAACTTGGAGAGCTCTTTGAGCATCGATATCTTTATACCACTTGCGCATAGTCTCCTCATCCCGGTATCGAATCGAGAAATTGTCCACAACACCGGGGTCGCCCTTCCAGAATATTTGAATCTTATAGGAGCCTAGAAGTTTCGCTTGTCAGGCGGTTGTTCGAATGTATGAGTAGATTACGTACCTGGCCGCTGAAGAGATAGTATCTCTGTCACATTTGCCATGTATATCCGGCCCTTTAGCTGAAGACGAGCTTTTCCTTTTTGAGTGTTCGGATTCGGTTTATCTTTGCCCATCAGCTTGGACTTTTGTTTATTCGGATTTATGTCTTTACAGCACAAAAGTATTCGTTGGAAAAGATAGATGTGGTACTGTATCGAATAAATCATTGCCGTTAGTCAGTGTCTCGCAGGTAAAACAACCGAGCATCAAATAGGCTTCGTTTAGAAGAAAAAAAGAAAAAAGCACAGTTCAGGGAAAAGTGCAATACAGCGAATGAAGTGGGTCACAGATGGGAAGGACGGGTGAGCGATATGTAATCTTAGTAGAAATGAGATCGAAAAGCACAAAGGAAAGTAAAATCGACCTCGCTTCCTGTGCACTGCGGATTCACATGGTTGCCGGTCTCGAGTTGCAACTCGAAATTTCACTCGTCAGACTATTAGTCCTGTTGGAGGCTAAGCCATCACTCGAGCTAGAATTTTTCTGGTATTCAGCAGTTGGTACTGCGCGTTCAGATACATGTCTTCCTTGGAGCCATTGCCTTGGTGATCGAGGCAACGGAAAGCCACGGATGACATTCACTCTTTTCCGGGAATCTCCTTGGGTTGTGGGATGAAGCATGAGAGTAGGTAAAAGCTCACTACTCCCTTTCGATATTGAAAACGCGGAAGAGAGAGACCTCCTTGCTCTTGAAGCGAAGGAAGGCCGTTCTATTGCATCTGACGCTGATGTGCTGGCGGACCTCTTTAAGACCTGCATTCTTCTCCCAAGAGTGAAAAATCTGATCCGTTTCGGAGTAAATAGTACCCTGGTATTGGGTCCAAGTTCAGAGGAAAGGTTCGAGGTAGGAACCCAGGCTTTCCATGGATCGTGTGTGAATAGCCTTATTGCTGGGCTTCCTAGGGGTATAATCATTCGGTAGGGCAGGTTCGGGTCCAAAGGAATCCTTAGGCGTAACTCCAATGACTTGGACAATCCACGACGCTTTCTCCAGGGCCAGAAATCTTTAAATCGAAGGGCACTGAAATATATACGAACCTCTCTTTCCGAGTCCTTTCCAGCATCACCCTTTATTACTATGAAGGTTCCAAAACGGAGCAATTCGCCGAACGCTTCGACTCGAAGAGCTTTCCAATCATCCACCCTGTTGGTCAAATCCTGAACCGCGGCGGCCAGGTGCTCTTTATCGATAGCGCTATTCGCACGATCCAGGACTAGTTGAATGATGTCGATGGCAGTAGTGATATCGGCGCTGAGATCTTCTCGATCTGTCTGCTTTTTCAATTCCTGCGAAATTATTAGCCAGTTAGTATTGTCGACACTCACACGCAGGAGCATCCTTACCATGAGCATTAGAGGATACTTGGTCAGGCGCTGAAACGGCTTTACGAAGAAGCCGTTTAAGGTTGACAGCTGGGCCACCATCTGCTGAAGATCAAGAGATCGCGGAGCTGCGTGGATCTTATCCCACTCACGCAAACAAACGGCATCGCAGCGAAGTTGGTTGGCGATGAAAGGCTCATATTGCCGGAAACCTTCCTGGTGATTGATGAACAGCTCACCCCAGTTCTGAGATTCTTCCGGAAGTGCATTATGCTGCTCCATCCGGATAAGGAACCTCTGCGCGAAGTCAAGTAGATTGTTTAAGTTGAGAAAAATTTGGTGGCTTGAGTCGCCATTCAGGGCACCGGTCTCTTCGAGCTCCTTTTTAAGGGCCTGTAGATTTTGCAAATGATGGACGTAATCCCTTTCAGTCTCCAGCATTTCTTTAAGGATATGTTCTCGTCGCGTAAGCTTGGTTCTTTGTTGCTCAACGGGACCGGAATTTGTAGGCGATGGCTTATAAAGTTGACCTTGCATTTCGAGGATATCCAGGACACGATTAACCATTTTAATAACCTTGATAGACAGTTAGTAAGTATATCCTCGAGTCAGGGTTTCTATAAAATTAACTACCTTAACGAAGCCGGTGGTATTCTCGCCATAGAGATCGGTTATGAGGAAGCATTCCTGCTGAGGGAATTCCAGGTCTTGCAAGCAGGCTTGAAGGAACTTGAAGGCTGCGGCTTTCGGTCTTCGGTGTTCTTGAACCTTACTCTCGTCCAATGTTAATGGCTCAGCGGGTTGAGTAGCGTTGAAGATGGTCATCAACGGATATCCATTCTGCAAACACCTCCATACAGACGCCACGGGATCACTGATTTCCTGAGTTTTATCTAGGGCCTCCATCTCTGCCAGATGCGGCTCAAAACCAGGGACTTCTGCGAGTCTCTTCTTCAGGTGGGCGCAGCTCTGATACAGTGACTCGCCTCCTCGGCGATTAATGATATTATCTTCGGCCATGACATGGCCCGGGCTTATCACCGGCTCCATCTTGGTGCGATAGGACGTTCACAGACCGGATAGACGATATCGGAACGGTTCAAGCTTCGGGGACTATTCCTGGCCAGGATTCCCGGTCCGTCACAGCAACCACGAGCATGAGTCTGCGAGATTTCGACAATGGACAAGAGGAGAGAGCTCGAGGTGGGCCGGTGAGAGACGGGACGAGGGGCAAAGAAGGACCAAAAAAAGAGAAAAAAAAAAAGAAAAAAGGAGCGAATGATAAGGACGAGCTCTTCGAGGAATGTGGTTAGCAAGCGGATCACATTGAAATCCGGGATGGGCCCTACCCCGACAGGTGCTATGGTAAGTTGAATTTATAAACTGGAGATGTCCGGTGCGGTGCAAAGGAAGGGATGGGATGTTCTGGAACCTTTGAGACAAGCGCTTGGTGATAACGCGTGAGGCGGCCAAAAAAAATGAGGCTTTTGTGGGGGGAGCTGTAATCCCAAGGAGCTTTTGGAACGACTCAAAAGTCAAGGACGGCGGGCTAGAGATGGGCAGAGGGCTGGGTCAAAAGACAGAACAGAAAGGATCAAGCGATGCAACACACGGCCAGGAGGGAGTCTGGGGGAAGACGGCAATGGAGGGAGGCCAGCGTGCGAGTGTTGGTTGGGCTGTTTCAGGAGGTTGACTGAGCATGTCACGGAGCAGCGCTGCGCTCACCTTTTTCCCGCGCCAAACCCCTTTCGGCCTACCGTTACAGTTGGCCCCGTCTGCGCTAGGCCTAACACAGCTAGCCCGTCTACTGTCCCAGCAAAGCGCTCGCTTATGTCATCACCACCGGCCCTGAGCTTTTCACCGGGCGGCGGGCACCGGGGGCGCTGGCGGGCGTGTTTGGCGCGGGCTGGACCAGGCTGGCTGGGAGCTGGGGGCTGGGGAACTGGAAGCTGGGAGAAAAAACCTACACATCCAGGCCGGGCACAGCGACATTGTTGTGTCTCGCTGCATCCGAACCCTCCTGGCAGACCTTTTGCGCCGCACGAAACACCCTAAGCACCGCAATCCCGGTGCTGCGTTGGGCCTCTCCCCGTGTCTGGGCGATGACAAGCAACTGGATTACCTAAGACATCGAACGGAGGCCTGCGACGACGACCGGTCGAGATTCGTCGGCATCCTTGCCCATGCTGGTTGCCCAACGGGTTAATTTAAAACACCTTTAATATTACTTTTGGATACCTTGGATGTTTTCTTCGGCCTGGATCGCTGTCTCCCATCCGTCCTACATCCTGCTGGCGTTGCTTGAAGCCTCGAGAGGTTGGCAAAGTTGGCCGAAGCGACTTGTTGACATTATTTGGTAGCCTTGAGGGAGCGAGTGAGTGGCAGAATCCCGCCAATGCCTGCGACGGCTTCTCCCGGCCTTTGACATTGCCCACGCCCTTGGCTCCCGTGTTGTTTGTTGCCGCCTGCGTTTGTTGCATCGTCACCCTCATCCCGCTACTTGCCGCCGCTTCGTGAAGTCGCGATGGACCACGACCCAACGGACCCGGCCGGCGCGCCGCCTCTGGGAAAGCTGCAATCGGACAAATATAAAGGAGGGCTTGGAGCTCCATCGAATTCATTCAGGCTTGATGAGGGGTATTCCGATGAGACCAAAAGCGAAGCGGGCAATGACGGGCCCTTGGGGAATGGATTCACACTCCCTCCATGGTTACTCTCCCATACGGAGCCTGTCAGAGCAGGTACCGTACACATCCTATTTAAGCCCTTCGCTTTGATGTTTCGATGAAAGACCTAACCTTTGTTCCAGATCTGGCTTTCGCCCTTCTAAGCACCCTGCGGACATCTACAATCGCGAACATCGTCGAGAGACTCACTCCGCTTCTTCATATGGACCCGGTGCAAAAACTCCCCCCGGAAATAACCGCCGAGATATTCTCATATCTCGATCCCACCACCTTACTTACTGCTTCTCTTGCCTCCAGAGCTTGGAGAGACAGAATCCAGGACTCGCTGCTATGGAGAAAGCTATATTTACAGGAAGGGTGGAAAGTGAACATGGAGGAAGTCCGAACTTTCCAACGGCAACGCGCCGAGTCGATGCAATCGGCCTTGAGAAAAGTCCGGATGAGGCGATCGGATACGGAGTTTGGGCAGCCGCTCCAGAAGAGACGAGTTTTACCAGGTCGCACCAATTCGACCGGCTCGAGTGTGAGTATGGTGGAAGGCGACGCGTCGAATTCTGCGATGTGCCGTCCTGCCGATGCCGGGGGGGACTATGAAATGCAGGACGTTGGTAATATCGATAACTCCGCGGGGTGTCCCCCACTTGATCGAGATTTACCGTTAACCCCTTACAAAGAAGCGTTTTTATCCCCAGCTTTGTGTGCAGACGACCCCACAAGACTGAATTGGGTATATTTGTACAGGCAACGGCGTATATTGGAAGATAACTGGCTCAATGGTCGCTTTAAGAACTTCCAGCTACCACATCCGCTATACCCTTGGGAAGCCCATCGTGAATGTATCTACGCAATCCAATTCAGCGGAAACTGGCTGGTGAGTAGCAGTCGAGACAGGACTATAAGAATTTGGAATCTAGAAACAAGAAGGCTCAGATATCCTCCTCTGCTGGGACACAAAGGCTCAGTGCTTTGCTTGCAGTTTGACGCCAGCGAAGAAGAGGATATCATTATCTCTGGTAGCAGTGACCGAAATGTGATCATTTGGCGTTTCTCTACTGGAGAAAAATTGCAAATCCTGAGCAACGCACATCTTGATTCGGTGCTAAGTTTGCGTTTTGACAAACGGTATTTGGTAACCTGCTCAAAAGACAAACTTATTAAGGTTTGGAACCGCCAGGAGTTGAGTCCTTCGGATGAGGATTATCCTAAATATTTCACGGGCGTCGGGGTGCGGTATCCGCCTTATATCGTGGATACCTCGAGCATGTCTCCGTCGACCCTAGAGGCCCAAATTGCAAATGAACACATCAAGACTCTACAGCCATACTCCTTGCTGATGACGCTTGACGGACATGGAGCTGCGGTAAATTCGATTCAGATCGACAAGAACGAGATCGTTTCAGCGTCCGGGGACCGCCTTATCAAAGTATGGGATATTCACAGCGGGTCTTGCTTGAAAACCCTGGTTGGTCACCAAAAGGGAATCGCGTGCGTTCAGTTTGACAGTAAACGAATAATAAGTGGCAGCAATGACCTTACTGTGCGGATATACGATCATGCTTCCGGTGCAGAAGTAGCCTGTCTCCTGGCTCACGAGGACCTTGTCAGAACTCTTCAAGCAGGATTTGGCGATCCCCCTGGCTCTGAAGAGACAATGAGGCTAGAAGCCATGGCAGTTGACCATGATTACTGGGAAGCTCAACGTCGTGGTGATGTTCGTCATGAAACTGGTCGACGGCGGGTTAACCGGATGCGAAGCACAGGGTCAAGACGGCCACAAGACATCATGGCTTTGGGGGCGAAGATTCCCCCGGGAGGTGGTGGGAGTAGGTGGGCCCGAATCGTGTCTGGCTCTTACGACGAAACAATTATCATCTGGAAAAGAGATAAAGAAGGTAAATGGGTAGTTGGACAACGATTGCGACAAACAGATGCAGCGCGAGCATCGTCCGCCATTGACGATTCTATGGCTACCGAGTTCCTCACTCAAACCTTTGGAGCGAACTTACCGGGAATCCATAGGCACCTTCAGGCCGCAACTCATCATCCCCAAAGTAATGCTTTCGCTGGTCCTTCACAGAGCACCGCCGCTGTTGTTCCCTCCTCAGCACAAGCTGGTGCCAGTTCATCGATACCTCAACCGAGCATCACTGCCCAAAATGCCTTTGCCAATCAGCTACTACAACCACAGTCCCAACCTCAGTCGTCTGCCCAAGTTTCGCCAAATGCCCAACAAGCTCCCATCCCGATTCCACAAAATCAGGCCACGCAAATCCCAACTACTGGCCAAGTACAACCAACAGCTCTACAACCACAGCCTCATCAACCTCAACCTCAACCTCAACATCCCGCCCTCCAACCCCCGGTTGGTCCGCACCCTACCGCCCCTACACAGACCAATAACCCGGGGCAAGTTCCCCCCCACCATCATGCAACTGCAAGGATTTTTAAGCTACAATTCGACGCGCGAAAATTAATTTGCGCAAGCCAGGACCATGTCATTGTCGGATGGGACTTTGCAAATGGCGACAAATACCTAGAGGAGGTGTGTCGATTCTTCGAGAGCCTGTGAGCAAACGCTCCAGAGCGGCAAAAATATGAGTGGGCTAACACCAATAAAACAACTTTCTTACTTTTGGTGTTTTTCCCCACTAGGCTGGGTTTGGTATCGTTGGTGTCTGGGGGGGCTATTTCACCTTTCACATTGAGATACAATCCTTTCAAGCTTGCATATGAACACAAGGTAATGGCGACGCACTTCCAGCCATCTTGAACCGATCCCCAGGTTGATGAATATACCACCTGCCTACCTTATGTTGAAAGCAAAGAACGCTTGAAGATTGGCGGCAATAACCCACGCATCGCCTATTGACAGATGTGTAGGATTTATTACTCTTGGGACTTGCTTTGTACCTCACATCTACTTTGTCTTGTTCAATTTTTTTTTTTTTTCTTTCGGCAGCTACCTGTATTATGCCCTTGCATCGTTTTGCCCGGCATTTTTAGGATTTTGATGTTTCGCATGTTATCATTAGCAACAGTTGATACTTTACATTATGATGGCAGCTTGATGACCAGCGCCGAACATAGCACAGAATATTGCACTCATACATACATACCAAAATTCGGGCTCTCCAAGCGCTTTTATGATCTTAAAATTGCAAGTGGAAATAGGATAATAGGAAAGAAAAAGATTTTAAAAAAAGGGATAAAAGAAAAGAAAACGAAAGAATAGTGTCTATTTTCTGCTATGGAGCTGGTCGATTCCATCCACGGTCTTGATACACTAACTAGCTAAACTCTGCTTCTCTAAATAAATGCTTCTCCTCTCAAATTCCGCGCCGCTGGCCAAGCAAAAGGGTGCAACTCGCCAAACCACCAGCCCAGCCCTCAAAAAGTAAGTATAGAGACATGGCTGGTTCACCTAGAGCTAGCGGGCCGATAGCCCCAAGCCGGAATCCATGGCTGAGACGCTTTCTTTCCACGCCTCCAAAACTCCCTAAAATTCAAGCAACTTTGGCGCTCCACCCGATCATCAGCTTCCTGCCCTAAGCTGAGTCTTGTACCTTCATTCAAGTGATGGATGAACCACAGTCGACAACATTCTGCAGCGAGGGTAACAAATGAAAGGTATTCCCAGGACTTGTGACTATTAGCAACGGGAGGGGCAGCCGAGAAGCCCACAGGATCGGGAATTGCGCTACCCGAAACCGATTGAAAAGGTAATGTAGACTCTTCACGAGAATTGCCGGCAGTAGCTGTCACAGTGCACGCCATGCCAAAGCTTGTACTGGGCGGCGATGTTTCAACCCTAGGGGCGGGCGCAACCAGAGGAGGGTGTCTGATGTATGAAGGAAGAGGAACTGATGTGGTATCAACTGGGCCTGTACCGTCGACAAAATGAACTCTACGAGGAGCAAGAGAACCACTACCACTGCTCGGTTTAGAAGCGGAAGCCCCGGGAGTGGTCTGTGGAGGAGTAGCAGCCGCATTGTTGCAACAAAGAGATCCCTGCCTTCGACCCTGATTGACTGAACCATTATCTTTGGTATCCCGAATGCATCCAGCAGGTGATGGTTCGCGAGAAAACGGGTGATTCTGTAAGCGTCCCGCGCCCACACCATGCCCGCTTTGACGAATGCCAAAACGCCCCCGAACGAGAGTTCCATCGTCCGCACGCGCAATTGCTCCCGCTGGCAACCCCGGTACGCGCGACGGGGAAGACGAAGATAGAGCAAGGAATCGCGGCAGTCCAAGGAAGCAGCACGTACAATCGTCCACCTCAACATCATTTCCGGACCCTGGAGTGGTCTGGGACGAAAGACGATACCGAACGGCCTCCGGCGTTCCAAACGACGGAAGCCCTGGCGGTGTAACACTCCGAATTGGGGGAGGGTATATGGGCTCCAGAGGTTGAACGGGAGAAAAACGCTCACTGAGCCGGGGCTGTTCAGAAAAGCTTCCATAGGAGGACGATAATCGACTGGATCGACGAAGGTAAGCAGGGAGAGAAGAAAACGGAAATTTAGGACGAAAAGAAGGAATATCGAGATCGTCTAGAGAGTAGACTTTATCTCCGTATCGATTTCCGAGCAGCGACGCACCAAAAGACAACCGTGACCTGAAAGAAACGCCAGTGGACAAGAGCAGCTCCCTGGATAGCGGCGAGGCAGAGCTTTGGAGCGTAGAGAAACTCGGATGTTCGCTGATGGGATCAAGGACATGAGGCCGCCATCCACTGTGAGTTACGGATCGATACACCCCTCTCCTTTTTCCACCAGCGACACCGGGCTGCCATCGTCCGAAGCTGTCCTCCTTTTCTCGCTTTTGATCCTCATGGGGTGCTTCATCGTCATCGCACCCATCCAAACTAGTCAGGAAACCATAATGGAGAGAGCTATGTTCGCTAGGGACTGACTCTGATGAGTCCAAGTGTGCGTTGACCCCTCGAATGGACACAGTCCGGCGCAGTCTACTTCGAGTAGGGCCTGTACCTTCAGCGAAAGACTGGGATCGCGAATGATCGGCCGTGAAGCCTCCATTTCTAACGAATGGTGGCCTTCTCGGCGCTGCAGACGCCATTGATTCCTACTAGGTGGTGGGATAAACGAGTGGGACCCCTTATTGCAAGGGGCAAGAAAGTCATGGAGTATCTTTTCGTGTGTGAAGAGACCGACTCCGGACAAATAGGGAGTGATCAGTATGTATTAATGCGAGCTGATTAGGAGGTACGTTCCAGGCGGAAAGCACAAGAGGCCCTTGAGGCAAGCATTCAAGGCAAAAAGCCCAGCAACAAGGAAAGCATGATGACGCTCCAGCAATGAGAAGACCTGCACGCCCAAACACCAGCCAAGATGCAGCCATTTTGATCTCTAAACCCGTCAGTCTTGACACATGAATCGCGGTCCATATATACCCTACTTTGCCTTATATATCAATACAACCATGCAACCATGCAACCAGACAGTATGCCATGCCACATTGCTGTGCAAGCTAAACTCAAAATTATGGGGACGAAGACAACTGCATGTAACGATGGAGAGAGCGGACACAAGCAATCAGGACGCGACGGTGCTCTGGCTTACGTTCGACTTGCCAGCAGCCTGCTGTTCCTTCTTCAGGGTTCGAACCAGAGCCTCAAGTCTGCGTCGTTCTTCCTGTTCAGCCTAGAAGCAAGAAGAAAGTCATCAGTATAATAGCCTTCGAAACACCGAGTGGCTAGTGATGTCTCTACCTTTAGGGCCTTTAGATTTTCCATCCTCGTATCTCGCATCATCTTCTTGAATTCATTCTTCAACACCATCATCGACGTCGTCTCCGTTGGCGTTCCGTCTCCCCGTCGGATACCATTGGCCCCCAACGCCTGGATCCGTTCGTCACCCAGCTGCATCTCGAGAGTCTCACATCGATCCCGATAAGAATCTATCATGTTCTCGAGCTTATCTCGCTCCTTTTCGAACTCGATGCTGGCTTTGGTCAACACTTCGTAGTCGTCAATTGTTTCACGAAGCTCCTTTTCCAGCACCTGCACACGTTCCTGGAGTTCAGATGAACCAGCGTTACTTTTGCTGGTCTGCTGAGTCTTGAGAGCGGCCAGCTCTTCGGTAAGACTCATATTACGCTGGTTCAACTCGTCCATCTCTTTTTGGATTGCCGGGTTCGCCGCAACCTGCGCAGCGCGCTCGGCCCGGCTTCCATAAGCACCGTCAAGCTCGGCACGGGCAACGGTAAGCTCCGTTTGTATCCGAACCGTTTCACTCTCAAGCTCAGAATATTCAGACTGAAGCTTCCGCAGCTGTTGTTGGGAGTCGTCGATAGTTTCACGAGCATTTGCAATTTCGAGGTCTTTCTCGGATTGCAATTGTTGGAGGCTAATCTGGAGATCGGCGATTTGGCCATCTTTGACAGTTTGATCTTGTTCAGCAGAGTCCAGGTCCGCCTTGGCTCTGTGTCTATACTCTTCCAGGCTGACAATTTGACCTTCTTTCGCGGCTAAATCTTGTACAGCCTTCTCGAGTTCTTGTGCCAGCTTCTGCCGAGTTTCCTCGAGAGTAGCAATTTCGATTTCCTTCAAGGCTAATTCCTGTTCAACCGCCTGTCGTGCTTCTTCCAAATCGGCAATCTGGCTCTCCTTTAGCGCCAGAGCTTGTTCGGCCTTTTGTCGAGCTTCCTTTTCAACCTTTACAGCTGACGAATCGTTTGATTGCCGCTGTTCCCGAATCATCGATTCTTGGCGAGCGGCATCGAGCTGGTCCATGACCATAGTGAGCTCCTCTCGCATATCGCTAGCCTCTTTCTTCGAACGATCCAGCTCCTTTCTCAACTTCACAATCTGTTCAGTAAGATCCGCAATATGGGCGTCGCGCTCCGCATCGGATTTACAATTAAGTTCTCTCTGCTGTTGGATTTGGGTTGTGAGGATCGTCTTCTGTTCAATAAGGTTTCCGATGCGTCCTTCAACATCTTCGATCGTTTGTCCAAGATAATCAAGCTGCTCTACGAGAGTTTTCCTAAACGTTGAGGTGCGTGGGGTAAGCTGAGGTCGCGTGGAACCAGCCGTAACGAGAATCCCATCGAGTCGTTTGTTGAATATGTCCAGTTTCTCTTCCGCATCGGACAACGAGCCTTCCACTCCGTTGAGAATATTGGACTGCTGAAAAGCCATCGATTCCAAACCTTTGTCTAGGGTGTCTAGACTGGTTTGTACGGCGATCACCGGATCCGCGGGTGTTCCGGTGGCATTACCCTGGAAAAGAGGATCAATGTCCTGGTTCGGATTTGCTTGCATTATCATCTCCCGTAGACGAAAGTTCAGATCATCTAGTCTTCTTTTGGTTTCGTGCAGTGCGACTAGACTCACGGAATTTCGTTCGCCGGCGATCATGGTGGGAAGGTCACGTCGAGTGTGGCCCACGTTAAAATCGTCCAGATATTCGGGGGTCCTGTAGAGGCTGCGCTCATCGAACTCAACGACATCGCCGTTCCTTTCCACGCGAGTTGCACCTTTTTTCTTAAGACCTTTGTGCGTCATTTGTAGGACCCCGGCGGTATGCTCTAGTATTCTCCTTCGGATCTCATTAGCCCTCCTTTCCAGCTTCCAAAGTTCCTGAGCGACATCTTCACATCGACGCGCACTGAGGGCAAATTCTTCATCGGACTTGTGTTGGAAGCTATGGCGGCCGAACAGCGTTATTCGTCTACGGTGCGACTTGGGCGAAGACTCTGGGCTTGTGTCCGAGCTGTCTCTTCTCCCGCCCTTTGAATCATACAGTCTACCTAGAGAGAGAGCGGCCTCCTGCAATTTTAGCTCCAAGGTCAATTTCCGCTTTGAGGCCTCGATGCGATTCGACAGGAGGAGCAATTCCTTTTTCAACTCCTCCACCTCTTCGAAGGATAGCACCTCGAAGTGCATACTGTCAGTTATAGCTATTTCCGCAAGTAGATGCATTGCGACGGGATCGTTGGCATTGAGTAGAACAGAGCTTCGTGGGTGCGAGTAATTGAGCTGACCGGACAAAGAGATATGGTCAGCGCATCCTACGTGCGCTGCACAAGTTAATGAAGGACTTACAGGATTGTATCTTGGGTTCTCATCTTCGTTCGAGTCTAGGACATTTCTATATCCATCAACCAGAGCCTTTGGCGAAGGAGGTGGCAGTACTGGAGCCGAAGGTGAGAAGTATCGAGGGTCCTGATAGGAGGACTGACTCGATCGGGAGTTGGTGACATTCATGTTTGCGAGTGAAGAAGGGGGGAAACAATGGAAAAGAAAACGAAAATACTAAAATGCTAGCGGGATACGGAGTACAGCTGGAGCTATTATTTCCCACACAAGATGTGCATCATTCTTTTGCCCGTGCAAGGTATTTTTCCATGACGATGACGATGAGAAGGCTGGTGATGGTGGTGAATTTAGGGGGGGTGTGGTTAATTTTCTTTTTGTTTTCTTGCCCTCGAACGACCACCAGGCGCTAAGATGCGAATTGGGAAGAAATGGTGGATTGGATGTGCCTTGCGGCCGTCAAAACCGAGATATATGCACGTTGCGAGCACGGTCAACCGAGTGACGGAGATCCGCCACCCCTGTACAGCCCCTTGTCCAGCTGCGCGAGAGTTGGTGATGCGCGGACGAGCTGGCTGTAGAGCGCGAGATCCATGGGACGCACCATGGAGTGCTTATATAAGACTGCAAAGCCGGAGAAATAATATTGCCGCTGTGGCGACGCTAATGCCGCATCCGGGATAATGCGAACCTTAAGTGCCTGCGCCAAACCTTAACTGGCAACCAGCAGGCGCAGCAGTGAGGCGCAGAAAAAGCAAAACTAAAACGAAACAGCAAAACGAGGCAAAACAGAACGATGCGCTGCAAGGCACGTCTGGGTGAGGAAGAGGATGCACCTAGTCGCGTGCACGCAGTCTTGAGTCCAGAAGTATAGTGGCTCACCGTCGAGGTATATATATCATCGGCCGTGTGCCTCGTGTCCTGAGCCGGTGCCATGAACGAAACGGTTCCGTTGGGACACGAGATTCAGCCTTCCAACCTTCAGGGCTCCAATCAGGGCCCGGGCACGGCCAATCGTCACGGTAAGCTCGTCGAGCTTGGGATGGCGTGGGAGCAATTGACTGGATGTGTCTCAAGCCCCCAGAGGCCACATGGAGGCCCCTCGGCAAGCTTGTCACTCCCTGTGGAGTCCATCCTCTTGCGTGATCGGCCGTTTGAGTTCTGCCAAATGTCCATGCCCGCCAGAGAACTCGACAACTACGGAGTACGGAGAGCCATATGTAGCTATCGGATGGATGTGCAGATGTCCCACGGATCTACACCCCGCAGACCGTGGGGAGATTGGGCAGGTCAATAAGCTCGGGGGAGAGATGCTACCTTCCACTTAATAAGCTTGCCCATCTGACCGAGCCTTTGGTTGCTGCTCCACGATAGAACCTTGTTGTCCTCCATCTTTCCCAAGGTAACAAATGCGGAATGGGCCCTGGAAATCAGAAGGTCAACAGTTCATAACATCCATTTGAGCCTTAATGCTGTTACCGGGAGCGTGGCAGCCCTGGTAGCATAGGATGGCATGCAAATTTGTCAGGTCCTTTTCCTAGTCTGAATATTTTAGTCTATAGGATCAATGAGCAATCAGTATTATTTCCCCGGGCTGAAATCCATCAAACCGAGCATGTACTCCGTGCACCATATATATATGATGTGCATTATGTAGTTCTCCGCCATATGTATGTGCACATTGTCAGCGGTCATGAAGCCGGACTGTTGTCAATTTCCCGATGATCGCACAGACTAGCTTGTTTTCGAAGTTCCGGAGCGCGTTCACATGTCGAGAGACGGGTTAGATACTCGGGTCATTGAGCAGTGGTCTGCAACCAACAAAGCCGTTAGCGTAGGATCCTCCACGTTACACTAAAATCTGGGGTACTCTAGACATTCCTCAACGAAACATGCTCAACACCCTCTCCTCCAACGTTACCGCCCTTCGCATGCCATGGGTGATGACAACATGGACATGAGCAACGTAAAGATTGGCCCAGACTCCCATGACATGAAGCTACCCAGGGACCCGGACGGCGTGACCATTCCCGCAGTTTCGCTCACCCACGATGAAGGAGGATATAAGGTGTATAAGCGGCGCTTTTTCGGCCTGGCACAACTGGTCTTGCTGAATGTTGTCGTTAGTTGGGACGTATGTTTTCCTCCAGGACCAACTCTCTCACCCTCCCGCGGTCCGCGTGGGTATATTCCGCGTTGAATGACGGCGCATCGGTTCCAAGGCTGACGCGCTACAGTGGCTCACGTTTTCCGCCGTCTCCAAGACCTCGTCCGAGTATTTTGACGTCTCTGAAGCAGCAATCAACTGGCTCAGCACTGGGTTCCTTTTCGCTTTCTGCGTTGCAAGCCCGTGAGTAGAAGCTATTTCGCCCCGATTGGTAACCCCCTTACGTGGTCGACAGATGAGCTGACCAACACACCCCTGCGCAAACGTAAAGTGCTGTGATATGGACTCTGAACAAAGGAGGACCCAAGCCTTCGATCGTTGCGTGCGCTGCTTTGCTCCTCGTCGGCAACTGGGTCCGCTATGCAGGGACAAAGGCAAAAGATGGGATCTTCGGCGTGACCATGTTCGGCCAGGTCCTCATTGGATTTGCTCAACCTTTTGTCCTGACCGCCCCGACCAGATACAGCGATGCGTGGTTCAGTGATCGCGGGCGAACCAGCGCGACTGCAGTTGCAACTCTGGCGAATCCCTTGGGCGGTGCGTTGGGTCAGTTGATCGGCCCAATGTGGGCGACGAAGCCTAGTGAAATACCAAACATGGTGCTTTACGTTGCGATAATCGTAAGCTCATATATAATACGCCCTTCATGCTGATTTAGACTTATATCTAAAACAAAGACCTTCTGTCTCAGTCAACCGTGGCATGCATCCCTTCGTTCTTCATCCCTTCTCTGCCTCCCACGCCACCGAGCGCCGCTTTCAATGTAACCCGCATCCCGCTTACACAAAGCCACTGCAACCTCTTCCGTGCTCTCGAGTTCTGGCTCATCTTCTTCCCCTTCGGAATCTACGTCGGCCTGTTCAACAGCATTTCCTCCCTCCTCAACCAAATCCTCGAGCCACATGGTTTCTCCGAAACCGACGCGGGAATTACCGGCGCTCTGTTAATCTTTGTCGGCCTAGCCGCAGCTGCGATATGCTCCCCCGTCACAGACAAACACAAACACCATCTAGGTACCATTAAGGTTCTCATACCCATCGTCGCAGCCACATACATCGGGTTTGTCTTCGCCCCAGAAGCGCCCAGCGTGGCAGGACCTTTCGTCGTCGCCGCCATCCTGGGTGCAGCAAGCTTCGCTATTCTACCCGTAATCCTCGAGTACCTCGTTGAAATCACGTATCCCATGTCCCCCGAGATCCCCAGCACGCTGTGCTGGGTCGGCGGGCAGATTTTCGGCGCGGTGTTCATCCTCGTGGAGAACGCGCTCAAGGCCGGGCCGGACGCGGATCCACCTAGGAATATGAAGAATGCGCTTATTTTTCAGGCGGTCATGGCTTCCGTGGTCATTCCGGCGCCATTGTGTCTGGGCTTGTTTGGTAGGGAGGTGAGGAAACGGAGATTGGAGGCTGAAGAGCAGGGAAGGGACCGAGGCGGAGCTGGAGATGAGCTTATCCCTGAAGACACGAATGGTAATAATAATAAATAATAAGAATGCGAAGGCGATTGGTATGTAATTGCCCAAGTCGGGTACAATGCCCTTTCATTCGGCCTTCCATTTAGAGATCAGGTAACGTTTCCTTTCATATACCTTTATCTATTTTACATTCCATCCACCAGTATTAAGCAGACCTTTCACCATCTCTTTTGGCAAAGATGTATGTATGTACTACATCCGCTACCTTACAATGTTAGGCACAGGTAGAGCTTATTGTTTAATCACATAAACATCTCAAACCATTGTTTCTCTGATCAGCTGGGGTGCTCGTGTCTCAGAAGCAACCCACCTACACAGGATGCACAGTCCGGTCCGAAGCATGCAAGTAAAGTAGCAATCCATTTTCAAACCAAGAATGATACATGATGCTAAACCAGCCAAAAACAAAACCGCTATGCTCCCTCTGCTCTGGCAGTATGCTTGGAAGTAACATCTTTAATTCGGAAATAGAGTTGACAGAAAAGATGAGCCACCATTCTATGCTGCAAATTTTTTTTGTTTTACATCTGTACATAATTTGGGAGAGTCTAGGCGGAATTGAAAACAAAAATGATGAAATGCCAGAAAAAAAGGGCAACGGAAATCAAAGAAAGAAGACAAGACTTCTAAAAGGATACCCCATATCATGCACGTACACATCACACTCAACTTGATAGATACACACGCAAAAGAGGCCGGGCTAAACAAGGAGGCAGTGAGCCCGTTGCGGGATTTGGCATTATTCGTATTGATATCTCTCTTTTTCTAACTTTTCTTTTCATTGGCTCCAGTTGTATACACTTTCATCTTCTCTCATCAGTCCATCTTGAAAATATTGAGGCGTTGGGTCATATCCAACTTCTGTTCGCGAACGCTCACCGTTGCGATTCGGGGATAATTCGCAAAAACGGAAAGTAATCCTCTAGGTGAGTTGCTCGAATATTTCCCGGATGGACGGAAGGGAGGAAGGTAGATGGACCGTAGGTGGATATCTATTTGAGGGCGGCCCAGAGCTTGGGGGCTGCGCACTGGGTTGCGCAGTGCTGGAGATGGAAGACTATGTGTCGTTAGTTCACCGTAGAGATGCGCATAGTTAATGCGGTCCGCGATATTGAAATTCGAGTGACCCGCCGCCGCACCAGAAATGAACCTTTGACGTATTTTAAGATAGCAAGGCCAGTTCGACGACGGGCGAGAACCGAGTACTGGGGACATAAACTTACACTCCTCGACGCAGTCTTCATGGGGTCCCTTGAAGTCAGGATCCTCGGCATTCCGGGTAACCCGCTCAACGCACTCATCGAAGTGGTGTTTATATGGGGCGCACTGCTTGGAGTTTGCGCATTCTACGCCACAGCGAATTTGTGTTGGTTAGCCAAATGTACATTGCATCTTGACTCTAATCAGATGGACGCCCATTGCCCCCATAACTTCCTTCCCGACTCCCAATGTATTCTTTCTCACATGTGTGTCTCGAATTGAGCCACTTGGACCTTCCACGGTGACTCAAACCCCACAAAAACAAACAAGCGAAACAAGCGAGGGACACAACTCACCGGCCTCCAACTTGGGCTGAATATCCTCAGGCTCCTCCTCTTCCTCCTCCTCTTCTTCTTCCTCTTCTGCCTCTTCGGCAGGTGGGTCTTCCTCCTCAGGTTCCGGGGCAGGAGGGGCGGGAGTCTCCTCTTCGGTGGGCGGTGCCTCAGCCTGGACTTCCGTGAAGCTGACGGCGCTCACGAAGTCAGCGAAAAGTTCTGAGAGACCCATTGTTGTCAATGTGTGACGGCGGGAAATCGGGAAGGCGGAGAAGAGGAAGGGAGGCGGGTAGGCGGGTGTGCGTGCGCGCCGGAGAAGTCCAATTGACGTCGTCGGGGGTTCGACAGCGACTAACGGTGGAATTAGTCGAGGTGGAAGAGGTCTCCGGACGTTGGGGCTGGCGTGTGTTGTGCAGGTTTGTTCGGGTTTGTGAAGTCCTGAGGATTTCCTGACTAACTCAATCGGCAGGGTTGCGCTGGTCTGATTGGCTGATTGCAATTCCAGGACACCTGATTGGTTGTGGTGGAATTTCTGTATCTCCGCGCCGAGAGTCTGTCTGGCTTATAGCAACTGCGTGTGGCTGGATGCTATACAGTGCCACAGCCTGGGAATATCCATCGATACGTTTGCAAAGGGAGGTTAGAACGCAGGTATCAAACGCTTGAGGGTTATGTTCATGCACACGCACATACTCTATACATGGCCGGTAGGGTCATTAGGGAAATAAAATATCAAATGTCTACATGTTTGTCTCTCGCTATGCACGCAATACACCAGACACAACACCACCTGTCCAGTTGGACCTGATAAAACCCCAACGAAAAAAGACTGTCCTGGCATCGGGAGTGTAAGAGGAAAATTATGGGTTATTGGGCCCGACGAAGTCGCGCCTCAAGGTCATTGGCCACACCCTGCTGTTGGGCTTCTTCATAGCCTGGAGGCGGCTCGGTAGGCGGATCGAATCTCTCCTCATGCGGGGTGTGCCGTGTATTCTGGCTGGAGTGCAGGTCATTGCCCGGATTCGAGCATCCGGAGAATGGCGGGGGGAAGGAAGATGATGTTGGACTTGGGCCCTCGTAGGCCGGGAGTTCGTCGAGGTGGACATTAGTAAAGTTGACTCCGCTGTAGGCACCGTCACGCTGCGAACTTCTTTCAGAGATCATTCCGTTTTCCCGAGCTTGCTCGACCACTTGCTGCAAACGTTCCTTGATCCGCTCAAAGGCGGAATGGAAATCGAAGGCACCACCCTCCTTAAAGGTCATCTTTACCTGAACGGCTGTATTTGACGGTGGAATACCGCCTCCGACAACTGGTTGAACGATCGCGGACCACACATTTGGTCCAAAGAAAGGAGCTGAAACAAAAGTGTCATGGAGATTCAGGAGCGGGGCCGAAAATGACTGAAACTGTGGAGTTGGCTGGACGGGGAGGTAGACAATCTGCTGGTTGTCAGTCTTTTTCGTCTGATTTCGCTTCATCTTCTCCAGGGATATGCATACCCGTTGGTTCGTGAGGTGGACGCGGCCGTTGCTGCTTTGAAGGGATAACGACTCGTCTCCCGGGCGCGGATTGAGGGCTTGCAAGCTGATAGTTGTGCGAAGTGGAGATGTGTATATCAGTCGCTCGTTTGGCAAACGGACGAAACCATCTGTTTCATGGAGCATAACCCAGCTATTTGGGTGTAGTCTACTTAGTATGGATCGCTTCGGAGGTTTCTGAGGGCAGGTAGGACGGCCCATGGTGTATAGCAAAGGGGGTAATATTCAAGGATCAAGATCACACAGACCCATAGGGGTATCAAGCGCAATGTAAAGTAAATCTCTATGGAGAGCAAAATCAAGTCCAGGAGTCCTTTTTTTTTTTTTTTTTTTTTTTTTTTTTTTTAATTTTTTTGGTCTGTGCATGCAATAACGATATAATAAGAGAAAGGGGCCGAGGACAGAAGACGATACGTACTTTATAGACATGATTGAGATGCCGGCCTAGAGCAAGAGAGCTGCAGGCGATGGAGCAGGGACTATCTGTCGGAAGTACCAGGAATAACACCTCGCGAGTTGCCCACTTTTGCGATGGCGTAGAGGGATCTGAGTTTGATAGACGTGATTCCTTGCTCCAAAAAGCGAGGTTAACGCGCTCCAAATCCCAAGGAGAGAAGTCGAGGCGGGCTAGACCACCCGACGGCTAGCTGCAGGCTTTAATTACGTGCCCTTTCCGATGGGCTTATTGCGGGCTGCGTTAGTTAGCGGGAACTATATGTATGTATGGATGGGGCGGGGCGACGAAATGCAAGATGGGAGAATAAAACCCCGTTGGGTCAGCAAGTGGCCATCGAATAAACGGGGGGTTGTTGGCAAAATATGTTGATGGAAAAGACCGGGGACGGGGAACGACAGAGTTCACCAGCACGAGGGATGACGGCCCGTTGTCGTAAAAGTGTCGCGAATCCGCGGGTGTGTGTGCGCGGAAGGACCGAAGTTTGAATCGAACTCGTGGATCAGTGGGCAAGGACCGCGTAGTAGAAGTACGGAGTACGGAGTAACTATGGGGTAGCTAGTTAATAAAGGATGGCTCTTTGGGCGAACTCTATCGGTTGCTGGCGCAAGGGTCGAAATGCAAAGGGTCTGGGCGTCACGAACATATGTTTGATGGAGGGGTGGGAGCAGAGAGATCGTGTCGTCGTTGGTAACTTGTGCAGAAGCTGTTGTTGTGGGCTGTGAAAGCTCTCGGGGATTAGCAAGGGCCCTTCTCCATCCGCACCAGCCTGCTTGTCCCATTTAACACCTTTTGATATCCCTGTTGACCGCCCTATGCGGTGGAGCGACGGCGGTGCTCTCGGAGGGTTCGGTGCTGGCCGGAAAGCGATCGCGAGACCTCCTAGTTAGGCCAGTTGGTTATTTATGTACCGTTAAACTTCCTGTTTCTCCATGGCCAGAGAATAATCATGTCTCGCTCCCTGACGAGAGGCTATCGGACCAGATGTTTGAAACCTTTCCAATAAATAAATCGTTTATTTCATTTCACGAGAATGAAGACACGGCACACGTTGCAGGGATGGGATAACTAACCGCAACCCCACGACTGGATAATTTCCCGCCTGTTCGAGCTGCATATTTTTCAGCCAGCATCGTTTTGACTTTGTACGGCTACGCTGCCGAGTATGTTGACTCGAGAAGGATATACGGATCTACAAGCCAAGCGACTATTACATGCCGTAACATACATACATGGAATGCCGGTGACGACGTTCTCGGAGGAACAATTATATGATAACTGTGAAACGCATCTCGTCACCATTACGCCGTCCTACCAGTGGTGAATATGAAGGGTTACCAGACTGGACCGGTTGAGCCGGGGCCTCTATCGAGGAGCGCAGTGAATAGTAAAACCCCCCCTTTACTCCGACTTTTGAGATAAGATGGTCATAGAAATCCAGCCTGCATGTTGGAGTAACTGATCAACGACCATTACCTGGCTTTAACGGAGTAAATAGTAAACATATCATGCTACAGCCGCAATAGCTTCTGGCCGAACACCCAAAGCCTACCCACACCATTGATGTCATAGATGGGAAACAGGGCAGCAATATTAAGCTATTTCAAGCAGACGCATTTCCAAGGATCTACAGAGAACAGAGCATGTCTAGCACAATCGAGTCAGCCAGCTCTTATCCATTTGTCACCTTGCATCACGGATGAGGATTGGCTTACCGAGTATTAATATTTTCAACACTTGCAGTATGCCATGCACATGTATATGCAATTCGTTCGCTTCAGGGAAGAGCCACGGTCAGGCCCCCCAAACACTCTGAAGCGCAAGCTAGCGATAATGCCTAGACGGCGGCAGGGTGGTGCATAGTTTAATGGACATACTGCTGATGCAATTTTGCATGCATTTGCCGCAGTGGTTAAAGGGACAGGCTGCCCGTGGTTCCAGAAGGCCCGATGTGTTGATCGTTTCTACGTCGGAGGCGAAAGCCACATGGCTGACCCTCACGATGGCTAAAAGGAGCGTCTGAAGTTTCATGGTCGATAAATATAGAAAGGAAGCACTGCAACGATTGACTATTGGGGGGGGAGGGGAAAGGAGCACGTCAAGGAAAGCTGCGAGGGAGCAAGAAAATACTGAAAGCGAGAAATGGACCGTCACTGGCCTACCTCATAGGTAGGAAACGCCCTATTTATCTTATGACGATGATTAGATGCCATTGAGGCTCCTCTCGGATGAGTTCAGCCGTAACTAAGTAGTTAACAGAAGCCATCGATAGATCAGCCTCCTTGGTGCTCGAAAGACAATCCTCTTCCCAACTTCTTCCAGTTAACTCATCTCAATAAGCGACCGGCCCCACGCATCCCGCTATCATTGATGATGCCAGACAGCTGACTGGGAGTCCGGTGCTCCTGGCTTAAACAATGTGCTTTCTGGACCGAGCCGCAAAATTGCAATTTTCAGGGGCAGGGCTTCCCGGACGTTGGCTGTTTATGTCATTGCGAGTCTTCGAAGCTTTGCTTCATGAACTTTTAATTATGGAGAACAGTAACGCACTGCTAGGAGAAAGCAGTCGCAGCAGAAGTTTCTTGACATTTGTTCGCCTTTTGGTCCGAGTCAAATGTCTTCTAAAAGCCGATGCGCCGGTCTATGTCAAGAGTGCCAACGCGCAGCACCAAAAAAAAAAAAAAAAAAAAAAAAAAAAGGAAGAATCAGAAATGCAGGTTGAGACAATGTCGCGTGTCCCAAAAGGATCTCAAAGCATCTGATGAGCACTGGATCTCATCCCACAGCAAGGCTGTCTCTTACCCAGGGCTGAAAAGGAGAATCTTTTCATCGCGCATTCTAGACCGCGATCGTCCGCTTTGACATTCCCCTGCATGAAACCAACATTTGCACCGGGTTGTGTTTGCCCGGTTCCGGCCGCTTGCCAGACCAAGCCGTGCACGGGCCTTTTTGGACCGCTCAGCGCGGCGACGGCGAAAAATCAAACTCCCGCTTCAGCAAAGTTTGTTTCTCCATAAAGGCCTTCATGTTTTGTTGTATTTATCCTGCTTGCCGCAGCAGGCGCCGCCGAAATTCAGGGTGTTTTGCGATTTTGTATGCTACAGACAACGTCTGCGTCGATATCCTTCTCGCACAATCAATTCATTGGGCTGCTCTCCACTTGGGTGCTGGCACCATTCAACCCAGGATTCCTGCAAGCAATGGAGTGGACTTGCTGAAAAGAATGCGGTGCTCATAACTTACCGTCATTTGCAATTGGTTCTTTTTATCATGGAGTTGTCAGGCGGCTCGGAATCAGCCGATAGTTACTTAAATAGATTATGGATGTTTGCGCACGGACATATGGAATCATGTGTATCAAGCACCGCGTCTAGAATGATGTCCGAAGATTTCCGGTCCTCGAGAACTGTGAGCAAACAGGAATTCGTATGATGATTTTTGACGTTACATTAGAAACACAAGAGTTTCGCTTTCAGGTACATATTTTTGCGGCGCTTACTAGATGGGTGTCTGAGCAAATATCGGCTACATATTCTTCCTAAGTGACTTCAAGCTCTGCACAATCTTGATATTGCTCAGATCGAGGACAGTTACTTCTACCGGACTACGGAGTACTACCTCCCAAGCACTTTTTTTCGCCGTGACGATAGCCATAGAGAAGGCATCATCAAATGAGCCCTGACACTCGGCACCCCAACTCAAAATGGGACACTTGCGTTCCCTTGGGTAATCTTTCTCTGCAGATACTATGTGTGCTTTCCGATGGAGTGTGCACAGGCGCTTATTATCATGTTCTTCCTCCTTAGCGGTACCTCGAACGCTGGCCTATGCTATTCTTCCGCTTGGACGGGTGCCTGCTCTATTTTTAAACGCCTTGCTGGGTTAAAGGGGGCTGTTTTGACATATATGACAAACTATTGCATGCTTTGGGCACTTGAAAACAGTATTCCATACTATTTTTCACTAACTCGGCCTTTCCCCTCACCGGTTGAACAACCTTCACAATACTCACCTGTTGATATCAATAGTATTTGGCAGACGGAGAATAGATGGCAGGCCCTAACGCTTAACTATCCTGATGTTCATTGTGAGTGATTTGACCATGGATATTTGACGCACAACTCCTGTTGCAGGCTTGATGATAAGTAGCTTCGTGTGTTTGATGTTGGGACAAATCAACTACTTGACATAGTTTTATGAGAGTGATGTATTGCGAAATAGGTGCTTATTGACGCCGCAAAGACCCATCGTGGGCAGCTTTCTCCCAACAGGTGCGAATATTATTGATTGCCGTTGCCCCGGAGTTGGTTATTCAACCTTCGAAATTTTTTAAGCTTGACGAAGGGGTTAACTGATGTATTGCTCAGTGGTTGGGAAGTGTTTTTGGTCCCATGGGGCCTCGAATAGCAGAGACGTGGCATTGGGATTTTCATTGTCAACCATACCTGATCTTTAAGTAATAATGCCGTTCTTCGTAGGCTTCATTATAGGTATCTCCAAGGGATCTTTCAAGATGACACTCATACACGCATAACTCGGCGCTTGTCTCGGTCGCCAAGGTTGAGTGCTCAGCCTCGCCAAGCGCACAACTTCACGGTGGAGAGCGCGTGGACGTCGCAAACCCTCTCCAGACCTCAAAAGCAACAGCGAGTGGTCTCGAGTGGATGGTGCATCTCCAACTTGATAGTTTAAGCTTTGAAGAAGCGGACCCAAGGAGACCGAAGAAACCAGCACTGATCTGGGATCAAGTCGCAGTTGTGGTGCTGATTGTTGCCAGCACCGCCTGGCAAAGAATACGGGACGTTGGCTGCATGCTTCAGGCTTAGCCGCAAGGCTGCAGTTTAAAACGGCGAGGATCTGATTCTCTTCCCCGCCCCAATGGCCTGCAGTATGACATTTATTTCCTGCAGAAAGCCTGACGACAAGCGGCCAGCTTGCAGCTGAGACAGACACGTTTAAAAGGTGCGATGGCAGCGGAAGATGCATGAATCAACCCCCTCAACCTTTTCAGGCGTCCATTGCGCCCAAGTGTGATCTCTTCCGTTTCTTCAACTGCATTCTTTTGGAATCGAAACAGCTTGATCGACACTCACTCTTTAGAAATCAATGTTTTCTCCTATGTACGGTTCACAGAAAGGAATCTTTCGAGTACGATTTACTTCAGCGTAGTTGGCATGGATTCCCCCCAAGGCCGCTCAGAGACAGAGACGGGCGCCTCTATGCACACTCGAGCCAGCTCCGTCCCGACACCGACGACCAGTCAGTTAAGGGAGCCATTACCGCCACACTATCTGGCTTCAGTGAATGAAACCGTCTCCTTTGAGCCACGCCCAAGCCGGTCATCCAGCATCGTGTCGACGAGGACCGGATTGACAATTGGGACCTTGCAAGACGAGACGAGGAGCATACGCAGCGTTGACCTGACCATTGGGGGCAGGCTATTTCATATCAACCGAGATGCATCAAGGATATCGATCTTGGAACCAAACGATTTACCCCCATATTCACCTCCGCCACATGGGTTCTCTTCTCTTAGCCAAGTCATTGGAGAGGCTGAGCAGACCCATCCTCACCCGATTCAGCGTTCCGTTTCTAGTTCAACCACCGGCCCTCCAGGATCGGCTGATGAGGTCCTACATACAAACAGCGATGAACAAACCGTAGGAAGGAGCCTCTCTTTTAATCCAGGACCTGATAAACTTTCTGTTATACCGAAGAGAAGATCCGCTTCGCAGGGTAATATCCCAGACAGCGCTTACAGCAGTGCCGGACAGCCTGTTTCACCCCTTCGCCGGCGAAATGGCGTTCGTTTGCCCAGAATTTTTACTTCAATACCCCATGAGCGCGACACCTGCTCAGAGGATACCACGCTTCTTGACAACGAGTCCGGAAGCATCCGCGTAACGCGCTCGGCAGGACCGCGCATTGGCGGTGGTGAAGTACACTCGAGGTCGCCATCATACATTGGACAAAATGCTCACGGCAAATTCCCTACCTGTGTTGAATCGACACACTTGACCTGTCCGCACACAAGTTATGGTGGATATTCGCCAAACATGGACGAGCCGCAGATCCTTGCGCCCCAGAGCCCGGCTAGGGTCGAAGAAAACCACGCTGATGGAACTACGCCACCATCGATGGACTCGGAAAACGATATAAGCATTCACTATTCACGTTTAATCCGCAATATCGATCGCGATAATCGAAAGGCTCTCAACCTTCGGGATAAGGAGCTGGCTACGATGCGCGTAAGATTAAACGAACTAGACCAAGTT